GTGGTGGAGGCGGGCGCAGCTCGGTGTTGGGTGGCAGCTCCAGTACGGTCACATGCCAGTACCAGCTTCAGACCGGCCCTCGTCGCGGCACTGTCTGCCTTCGGCCTGGCCACACCGCTGATCGCTGCTACCGCCGCCTGGACGATCTATTTCGCCACCGCTTCGGTCCTGCGTCGGACCCTCCGGACTGGTACGCCCTGGCTCGACGTTGTGAGCCTATCTTTGAGCTGGACATGGATCAGATTAGGCATGCTATGTCTGTCATGTATGCTGATAATTCTAGTGTGATTGGACCCTATTACCCGATGTTGCCTAGCGTAGGTGTGTCCCCTATGTGTATTGTAGGCTCCCCTGCTGCGTCAGGCGTAGGACCCTTTGCCTTGTTTAGCCTAGGCTCTATACTAGCCCCTCCGCCGGCCGCCGCTACTGCTTTGCTCTCCTTCATGCTTGACTCTGGAGCGTCCGCCTGCTTCTTCCGCGACCACACTTCGCTCACGCCACTTGCCGCCCCTGTTGTTGTCGCACTTGCTGACCCCTCCTCAGGTCCGGTAGTTGCACGAAGCTCCACTACCCTCCCCTGTCCGGCGGTCCCCTCGGGTTCCCTTACAGGCCTGCACATCCCCTCGTTCTCTAGAAACCTAGTTGGTGTCGGCTGCCTTCAGGATCTCGGCGTCACCACTACGTTCCCAGGGCAGGAGCGGTACGCGGTCTGCACCGAGGTCGTCATGGGTGCCCCTTTGACCACGTTCCCTTGTGACCCCGTGTCCGGCCTGTTTACGCTTGACACTGCTTCCCCCCCGGTGAGCGTGTCCCTCCGGGTAGCCGCGGCTTGCTTGTGTCGGTCGCTCACTCACCCGTCGCTGCTGTGGCACCACCGCCTAGGTCACCCTGCACTCCCGCGTCTGCAATACATGTCCCAGCACGGTCTTGTCCTAGGTCTCCCCGCGTCACTCCCTGCCCTCCCTTCCTCGCTTGCACCCCTGTGCACGCCCTGCGTCGAGGGCGGCTGCGCCGTGCTCCTCACTCCTCCTCGCTTCGTCCTGCCACCGCGCCACTGTAGACCCTACACGTGGACGTCTGGGGCCCAGCCCCCGTCCATGGGCCGCTTCGAGAGCGCTACTTCCTGGTGCTTGTCGACAACTATACGCGTACACCATGGTGTTTTCCCTGGAGCAGAAGGCCGATGTGCCTGACGTTCTTATCCCGTGGGTCGTAGCTACGCGAGTCCACCACGGTCTCCCCGTGCTGTGTCTCCACTCCCACCATGGCGGCGAGTTTGCCTCTGGTCGGCTTGGCCGGTTCTGTCGTGCGGAGGGCATCAGCCAGTCGTACACCCTTCTGGACTCCCCACAGCAGAATAGGGTTGCTGAGCAACGCATTGGCTTGGTCATGGAGGTGGCTCGTACCTCCATGATCCATGCCGGTGCACCCCATTTTCTATGGCCGTTCGCTGTTCGCTACGCCGCTCACCAGCTGAATGTGTGGCCGCACCCCCAGCAGCCGCAGGTTTCACTGAACCTCCTCTGGACCGGGTCTCCTGGTGACGCGTCTGTGTTCCACGTCAGGGGATACCTTGCTCACGTTCGTGCCTCTGGCACAGACAAGCTCACTGCCCGCACTGTCCCCTGTGTCTTCCTTGGTTTCCCCCTCGACTCTCTGACTGGCACTTTTACCACCCGTCGTCTCACCGTTTCCTTCACTCGCGTGACGTCACTTTCCACGAGTTTGTCTCCTTTTACCGTCGCTTTCCCCACCGAGGTCTCCCGGTCTTCCCGCCGCTGTTTCTGGTTCCCACTCCCCAAGTGGTCTGGGGATGCCTCACTCACGTTTGTGCCTCTGGCACGGACAAGCTCACTGCCCACACTATCCCCTGTGTCTTCCTTGGTTTCCCCCTCGACTCGTCTGGCTGGCACTTTTACCACCCGCCGACTCACCGTTACCTTCACTCGCGTGACGTCACTTTTGACGAGTCTGTCTCCTTTTACCGTCGCTTTCCCCACCGAGGTCTCCCCGTCTCCTCGCCGCTGTTTCTGGTTCCCACTCCCCCTGTAGCCCCTACTCCTCTTCCCCCCCGTCCTGCCCCGTCTGGTGTGTCTCACGTCACTCCCCTCCCCTCGGTTGTCTCGGTCGAGGAGTCGGCTGACTCTTGTGGCCCCGCGGCACAGTGCTCACTGCCTGATTCTGCCCTAGTGTCTCCTCATCCACCGTCGTCGCCGCCGCCGCCGCAGCAGCCGCAGCCGTCGCCGCGGCAGCAGCAGCAGCAGCCGTCCGTGGACTCTGGGAGTGGTGCCAGTGTTGGAGCGGGTCCTTGTTCTGGGGGTGCTGGTTCTGGGGGTGCTAGTCCTGGGGTTCCTGTCGTGGCTTGTCCCGGCGGTCTCGAGGGTGGCACCAGTGCTGGAGAGGGTTCTCGTTCTAGGGGTGCTGGAGTAGAGGTTCCCGGAGGCAGCTGTGGTGCAGCTGGAGGTTCCGGTGTCGGCGTGGAGCAGCAGCAGCAGCAGCCCCAGTCGCAGCCGGTGTCAGCCCTTCGCCTCCTCGGTCTTCCCTCCCTTGGCCACCTACCTGCGCCTCCCTCGCCGCCGCCTCCCCTGCCTGTCTACGGCCCTGGCTTTCCTCTGCCGGACTCGTCTCCGGATCGTTTCCCCCCTCACTCCCCTACTGTGTATCCTCCTCCGTCTCACGTCTGGTCTCGCCGCCCCTCCCATGCTCGTCCTGTCTCCCCTGTTCCGCGCTCCCACCCTATGTTGCTCCATTCGCACGCATCTCGTCCTCCCCTCCTCCCATCGCCTCTTCCATCGTTGCTTGTCCATGCTCTACCTCCTCTGTCTGGCTACATTCGTGTTGCTTGTCCTCTTGTTTCTTGGGTCCTTGCCTCTCTCATTACCGACTCGTCTGTTCCTGTCTCGAGTCACTCCGCGCTTGTCGCTGCCGTCGCTGACTTCACCTCTACCCACCGCCTCTGCCCGTCCTCTGTCCGTTGGGGGTGCTCCTGCCTCGGCAGTGACGTCTTGGAGGATCGGCAGTACGAGCTTGCTTTCCTGTCCGAGGCCGTGCCTTACCTCTGCTCCATGCTACTAGTCCCTGAGGGTGACCCAGACGCCTTTGACATCCCGACCCCTCGCACCTATGTTGAGGCGACCTCGGGACCCTGGGCCTTTCAGTGGATAGCTGCCGTGGACGCAGAGATGGCATCTTGGAAATCCACTGCACCTACGTCGACGCAGTTCCCCCACCTGGGGTGAACGTAGTTGATGGTCGGTGGCTCTTCAAAGTGAAGCGGCCCCCTGGAGAGCAGCAGGTGTTCAAAGCGCGCTACGTTGCTAGAGCCTTCAGTCCGCGCGAGGGTGTTGACTTCTTTCATACCTTCGCCCCGACCCCGAAGATGACCACTCTTCGGGTGCTAATAGACGTAGCAGCACAGCGCGACTACAAGCTGCACTCCCTCGACTTCTCGACAACATTTCTTGAGGGCTGTCTGCACGAGCAGGTCTACCTGAGTCGCTCGCCAGGCTTCACCGGTACCTTCACCCCGGGGACCCAGTGGCTCCTCCGACGCCCGGTTTACGGCCAGCGGCAGGCGCTGCGCGAGTGACACGACATGCTGCGTGCTAAGTTGGCTGACCTGCAGTTCTTCCCGTCGTCTGCAGACCCTTCGCTCTTCGTTCGTGCTGGCCAGACCCCATTCTACATCCTTGTCTATGTAGACGACCTTGTCTTTGCTACTTCAGACAGAGACGCACTGGCCTCGATGAAGGCTGAGCTGCTGAGGAGACACACCTTCACTAACCCGGGAGAACAGTGCCGCTACCTTGGCCTGCAGATCTCCAGGGACAGAGCAGCGCGCACGATCACTCTCACACAGTCACACTTGGTGCGTCAGGTCCTTCAGAGGCTCGGCCTTCAGTTCTCCTCCGCACAACTCACACCTCTTCTAGTAGTTCATAGGCTCTCGGCTCCAGTCCTGAGGAGTTTGTAGAGCCTAGTGGTCCTTACGCAGAGCTGGTGGGTTGTCTCATGTACCTAATGACTTGCACTCGTCCAGATCTCGCATACCCTCTCAGCATCCTAGCTTGTTTCGTGGCGATAGGCAGACATCGACTACAGCACTGGTCGGCAGCTAAGAGGGTTTTGTATTATCTAACAAGTACATCGGGCATGGGGCTAGTGCTAGGAGGACGCAGGCCAGTGGTCCTGACAGGACACACAGACGCTTCGTGGGCCGACGACGCTGAGACGCTCAGGTCCTCTCAGGGCTACTGCTTTAGCCTTGGTGGAGGCGCGGTCTCGTGGAGGTCCACCCGCTCGTCGTCTGTTGCCCAGTCTAGCTGTGAGGCTGAGATCTACGCCGGTGCCATGGCGGCACAGGAGCTCCGCTGGCTGACCTTCTTGCTCACAGACTTAGGTGAGCGGCCTAGCTTTGCCCCGGTCTTGTAAGCTGACAACAGGGCCATGATCCTCCTGTGTCAGGAGCCTCGACTAGAGGGCAGAGCGAAGCACATCCAGCTGCAGTACTTCCTCCTGCGCGAGCTACAGTAGCGCCGTCAGGCCCGCGTAGTACACTTGGCCTCCGGTGCCAACACAGCTGATATCTTTACGAAGGCGCTTGCGCCTAAAGATCATCAGCGGCACTGTGTGCAGCTTGGTCTAGTTCCCGTAGCTTCTCACTTGCTAGGACCCTGATTGTGTACTACTTCTATATTATCTTGACTGGCCTTGTGGCCCTTGTCCCAGAGGCTGGGCTAGTAGTACCGCCCTGGGTTGCTCTTGGTTAGTTTGTACTCTTGCTGACTAGTCTTCGGACCGCTGCCTCAGTGGTTGGACTAGTAGTCACCCTGAGCTGTGTGTCTCATGCTAGTCGCTGCCCCTTGTCTAGCCTAGGGGGTGTGTCAACATATATCTTGTATATGTTTTAGGCTAGAAAGGTACATGTTTATATCAAGTACAACACCTTAGGTTATATTCCCTTGTACCTCATCATTCTAGTCACGTTTTCTACTTCGAGAAAGAGAGTGAACTAGGAAAGAGGAGATACAAGAAGGGGGGTTGTCCCCTCTACAGTAGGATTCAGTAAGTAGCACAACTACCAAGCCTATACAAAGGTATATTTAAATATATATTTTGACACATAGTGCAGTGCAGGCACTTTCAAAATGGTGGGTTGATTGACAGAGATGTTTCCACAAACGGAGAGTCTGTTGAATAGCAGTACTTGTAGATGACGTTCCACAGCTGCTCCTCCTCTATAGGCTTCGACAGGAAGCCATTCATGCCTGACTCAATACACTTCTCCCGAGTCCCTGCGAAGATGTCAGCTGTGAGAGCAAATATTGGAGTCTGGGGAAGACTGTAGTTGGCCTCTTGTCTGCGGATTTGTCTCGTGGCTTCAAATCCGTCCATTCCAGGCATCTGGGTGCAGCAAGGCGAAGAACAAAGGTGAGGAAAGTGAGGTAGGGAGGGCTTTTCAGAAAGCCAGCAACAACAAAGCAAGTGCTGCATGGACCAACACGAGGAAAAGGGGCGCAAACGGTTGAAACAAGGTGCAGGCATGGGCCCACAGGAGGCGGAGTGCGCTGACCTGGACGTCCATGAGGACGCAGTGGAAGGCATGGCCCGGCACGATCTTGGCCACGGCCAGTGCGCCGCCCACCACGGCCACCACGTGCACCTTGTAGCGCTCCAGCATCTTGGCGATCACCTTGCGATTCACCATGTTGTCGTCCACCTGCCCACACACACCACATACCACACACAAAGGAGGGAGGATGGGACGGGGGAAAGGGGGGGTTGAGGGTGGTGAACAGGGAGTGGCGTTGGTTTCAAGGGCACTACTCACCACGAGGAAGTGCTTGCCATGCAGCACTACTCGCCACGAGGAAGTGCTTGCCATGCAGCACTACTCACCACGAGGAAGTGCTTCCCGTGCAGCACTACTCACCACAAGGAAGTGCTTCCCATGCAGCACTGCAGTAAGCATCTGAGTCAGCGTCTGCCGCCCACCCTCCCCCATCCCCCTCGCCTTGGGACTCAGCAAACCCCCACTGCCTTGCCTCCTGCTGCCAGACCTGCCATCCACCACCACTCTCCTCTCGCCACAACTACTTTGTCTGTCCTCCACTTCTCTCCACTGCTTCTCCTTGATTGCACTCCTCTCCGTGACAGGAGAGAGAGCCAAGGGGACAACTTGAAACCTGTCAGACTGCACAGATACTCCAAAATCGAATGTCTCTCCTTCACCCGGACCTGCACCACCACCGTCCTCTATCCCATTATCCGCCAAAAACCCGTACTCTGGCTCCCCTTCCGCCGCGCCCCTATAATTCTCGGGACTAAAAACTCCCGCCTCTCCCCTTCCACCAGTTTTTCCTTGCCCTCGTCTGGCCATGGTGCCCTGCCCTCCCTCCAGCCCCTGTGCGCTGCTGCTGCTGCTGCCGTCCCCGCTGCTATGCTTAGCGGCCTGCAGCAGCGCGCCCACGAGAGCGGCACGGCGGATGGGTTTGAGCAGCGTGGCATGGAAGCCAGCCTGCGAGGCCAGGCTCTCCATGCAAGGGTCGCGCACCAGCAGCACCATGCGCCATGCACCCATACCCGCGCCCACGCCCACACCCATGCCCACGCCCATGCCCATGCCCATGCCCGCGCCCATGCACATGCCCATGCCCATGCCCATGCCTATGCCCATGCCCATGCCCACGCCCATGCCCATGCCCGTACCTTCGCCCACGCTCTCGCCCATGCCCGTGCCCAGGCCTGTGCCTGTGTGTGTACCCGTGTGTGTGATCATGCACATGGAGGCTGCACTGGCTGGGGCACTGCCTCCACCCACTGCTGCATCAATCTGTGCCTCATCAACCCTATCCCTCACTCCAACTTCCTGCTGCAACGCCACCACTGGAAGAGAGTGCTTCAGTTGTTGTTGCTCCTGCGGTTCCCCCAACACTTGTTGCTGCTGCTGCTGTTCCCCCAACTCTTGCTGCTGCTGCTGCTGTCCTGCCAATCCTTGCTGCTGTTGCTGCTGACCCCCCAACTCTTGTTGCTGTTGCTGCTGACCCCCCAACTCTTGCTGTTGTGGCTGCTGTCCCTCCAGCCCTTGCTGCTGTGGCTGCTGTCGGCTGGTCCAGAAGGCGGCAGCAGTGGCCATGGCAGCAGCGCTCGTCAGCACGCCGCTGCCTCCCTCGCCCCCACCTCTCATGGCGCCACTGCCAGCAGTGCTGCTGCCACCAGGGCTGCCCGCGCCGCCACCAGGAGTGTGCGGGTTGGCGTGCGAATACGCACTGAAGGGGGGTGTGGCAGCCCACTCAGAGGCTAGGAGGGTCTCTGGGGACTGGGGCGTGAGCTCCCCTGATCTCCACGCAGAGGCGGAGTAGACGGGCATCAGTTCACCTGATGGCAGCAAAATGGGCAGCGTGCGCTCTCCCCTACCTGCCACACCACTGCCCACACCTGCACCTGCACCTGTAGCATCACCCACCGGCTCCCCACCATCCCGCTCACCCCTTGTGCTGACGCCCGTGTCTTCCATACGCACCCCATGCTCTGCCCTCTCGGCTCGCCCTTCCGCTGCCCTCCCTGTGGGGGGGCCGGGCAGCGAGCGGCGCCAGGCACGGGCATGGCGGGCGAGAGTCTCCGCGTCCACCAGCAGGAAGGGGCTGGGCGCCGCACCCACTGCAGGGGGCCCACCCGCACTGCCTGCGGCTGTGCCTGCTGCTGTGCCCGCCGGACCTGCTGGGCCTGCCGTAGCTGTTGCAGCAGGAACGGCAGCTGCTGTTGCAGGAGCACCAACGGCAGAGACGTTAAGGGGAGGAAGAGAGGTAGGAGAGCGTGCTGCAACAGATAGTCCTGCATCAGAGTAAGGAGGCACACCTGGCACTGCACCTGGCAGTGGAGGTGACGGCGTGCCAGGCAATGGCATTTGGTCAGACGAGGTTGAGGCACGTGGAAGGGAAAGTGCAGCAGCAGGCATGGGAGATGGGGATGGTGGCAGCGCGAGGGCGGCGAGCGGGGGGATGTCCTCCCAGCGATCGGCCGGGAGCACGTTGAGCTTGAGGCGCCGCAGATAGCTGGTGGTCACGGCGCGCCTCACAGGCCGGTCGTCCAGCACCACTGCCGTGCAGCCCTGCGCAGGCGCAAGAGGGAGGGGAGGGAGACACAGTGAAGAGATAGCCTTTTGTGATAAAAGAGAACCTTGGGGATCCTCCCACGTGGAGGAGCGACCAATACAGAGAAACACAGGTCCACGCAGAGGAAGACCAAGGTCAGGCTGATAACAGCTAGAAGGAACTACAATTCCAAGACGTGCATGGCTTAGGTGAACGTGCACAATTTAGGGTGTACATGCACGGTTAAGGGTGGAAGTGCATGGGTTTCTCGCGAAACTAAATTGCTGATGCAATCAATTGACGCTTCATTCACTCCCATCTCACGAGCGCTAGTGCGAGCAAACTACAGGTTGCGGCACTCACTCTGCGGCACTATAATGGCTCGAGCTTCTTCTGCCAGCATTGTCTCACTCTTGTGCCACGTTGGCTCTCACTCTTGTGCCACGTTGGCTCTCACTCTTGTGCCACGTTGGCTCTCACTCTTGTGCCACGTTGGCTCTCACTCTTGAGCCATGTTGGCTCTCACTCTTGTGCCATGTTGGCTCTCACTCTTGTGCCATGTTGGCTCTCACTCCCTGCACCTTCAAGGCATGAAGCAGCTTGAAGCGAGTGAGAGCGAGCGACACACCTGAAGGTCGGAGACTCGCGAGGCATGTGGGGGAGCACTTCGCCTCTTGGTGGCAGCAGCGGCAGGGGCGTGATGAGAGGGGTCGGGGGGGTTCTCAAACGGCAGGGTCATGTCGAAGAAGAAGGTGGTGCCCACGCCCGGCCGGCTCACAAACGCCAGCTTGCCGCCCATAAGTGCCACGAGGTGCTGCGAGATGGACAGCCCGATGCCCGTGCCCCCGTGCGTGCGCGTGGTGCTGATGTCCGCCTGCACGTACGGCCGAAACAGACGAGGCTGCGCCGCCCACGGTATGCCCTGCCCCGTGTCCTGACAGGTTGCGGCGGGGACAAGCAGGGTTAAAATGACACGAGGGATACCAGAATGACACGCGGAATGACATAAGGGCTGCCAGAATGACACACGGGATGACATGAGGGCTACCAGAATGTGCCAGAAGTTTAAATGAGTCAGCCTTGGTCAAGCTAATTCACCGTACGCCAACCTATATCATTGATGAGGAAAGGGGAGAGTCCCTTGATGCCATCACCTACCTCTGACTTCATCACACCACCCACATCATGCCAATCAATCATCACACTACCCACATCATGCCAATCATCACACCACCCACATCATGCCAATCAATCATCACACCACCCACATCATGCCAATCATCACACCACCCACACCATGTCAATCACCGCACACCCTGCAGCGCTCTGCTCACCTCAACGGACACCACCAGCCGAACCGTCCCACTGCGTGCTGCGCCTCCACCTTCCCCCCCTACCCCTGCCCCTGCCCCACCGCCGCTCCCCTGCCCTGTGGGTGTGCACTGCAGGTGGCCCGGGGGTGCGCCTGCCCCGGGTGCGCGCTGCACGAGGGCGTGGATGCGGCGCCAGCTGTTGCAGCTCTCCACCGCCTCCACGCCACTCAGCGTCGCAAACTCCCCTCGTCTCGCCCTCCCCCCCTGCTCCTGCCCCCTTGGACCCTGTCCCTGCCCCTGCCCCTGCCCCTGCCCCTGCCCCTGCCCCTGCCCCTCATTGCCTTCCGCCCTCATCCGACCCTCGCTCTGACTCGCGCCCTGAGCCAGTGTGCAGGCAGCATTGCTTTGGCTGCCACGGCCAGCAGCAGCTAATCCCCCATCACTGATCTCCTCTGCACCCGCCTCGCTTGAACACCCCTCCTTCCTCTCCCTTTCCACCTCGCCCTCCCATGCACCTGAGCCACCTTCTCCTGCCTTGCTTCTCTCCTCTCTGCACCCCTCCCCTCTCCCTGCATGTCCCACTTCACACCCACCATCCGTGGCGCCCTTTTCCACTGCACCCGTCTCTGCCACAGCGGCCGCGCGCACCTCTGCTCGTGGCCCCGCCACAGGGGGCGGGCACGCTGAGGAAGGAGGAGGAGACCGTGCAGGCAGAGGCGTGCCGTTGGCGCACAAGGCAGGGGGGCAGCCAGCATGCGGAGGGGGCAGTGGTGGCCGTAGTGCACCCTGCTGTCCGTCTGAGTGGGCATGGACTGAAAGCTTGGGCTCCCCACCCATTCTCACACCCATGCTGCCAACTGCGCCTGTGCCTGCTACCACGTGTGCAGTAGCATTTACACCTACGGCAAAACCTGGGGTGGAATCGGACCCAGAGCCTGCCGCACCAACACCACTAACAGACGAAGCAACAGCAATTGAAGCAGCACCGTTGCTGGCAGCAGTACCGCTGCTGGCAGCAGGGCGGTCGGTGTCGGCGAGGGAGGCGCGGGCGAGGGAGCGGCCGTCAGCGAAGTGGGCGCCGTCCACCGCGAGGTCCTCGTGAGGCGTGGCGGTGCGCACGGTGATGAAGACGTGGCCGCGCGCCGTGAACTTGCAGCTGTTGGACAGCAGGTTGATCAGCACCTGCCGCAGCCGCAGCGCGTCGCCCAGGACAAACGTGGGCACAGTGTCGTGCACGAGCGCGGCCACCTCGACCTGCGGCTTCTTGCGCGTGCGCTCTACAAACATGCTGAGCACGTCGTCGATCTCCGCCCTCAGGTCCACACGCATGCTCTCCAACTCCATCCGCCCCGCCTGCACTCCGCCACACCCACGGCACGCATGGGGGGAGAGCACACACCCATGGAGCCGTAAGTGGGAGCAAATCAAGGGATGGAGGGGGGATAGAAACATGGAAAGAGGCGAAACAGGTGATTTGATGGATGGGTATGGTTGTTCAGTGCTGATGGCACGCTGTGTCAAACCAACTCTACCCTGAATCCCCTGCCGGCACCTCCACCTGAATCCCCTGCAGGCATCTCCACCTGAACCCCGTGGGGCGGCACCTCGACCTGAACCCCATGGGGCGGCACCTCGATCTTGGAGAGGTCGAGGATGTCGTTGATGAGCGAGCAGAGCGCCCTGCCGCTCGTGCGCGCCGTCTCCACGTAGTCCAGCTGCGTGGCGTCCAGCGGCGTCTGCAGCAGCAGGTTCAGCATGCCTGCCGCCAATCAAAGCAGGACGGGGGGGGGGAGAAAAGAGGGGGGTGCATGACCAGCGCAGGATAGTCTCGGGTTTAGAGTGCTTGAAAGGGGGGGGCAAGATTAAAAAAGGAAGCATTATCACGTCATCATCTCACAACCAAAACGAACAACTACGTTCTTCACGAAACGAAATCTTAGAACATCAGCGTCCCCATCCAGCATTTAACCATCCACGCCATCAGATTCGACATGGGTGCATCTCACCAGTGACGCCACTCACGGGCGTCCTGATCTCACCAATGACGCCATTCATGGGCGTCCTGATCTCACCAATGACGCCATTCATGGGCGTCCTGATCTCACCAATGACGCCATTCATGGGCGTCCTGATCTCGTGGCTCATGGTGGCGAGGAAGGTGCCCTTGGCACGGCTGGCAGCCTCGGCGGCGACCTTGGCGGCGCGCATCTGCTCCTTGAGCGCCGTCATGCGCTGCAGCTCGCCCTCCACGCGCCGCACCTCGTACGCCACCACGTACACCGCCGCCACCAGCAGCGCCGCCCCCACCACCGCCACACACGGCCACACCACCGCCATGTAGGGGAACGGCGGCTCCTGGTACCTGCCACAGCGAACAGGGGGGGAGCAGACAACATGGGGGAAGAATGGGCATAGAAAAGAGAGGAGGAGCCAAGGGAACGGAGAGGAGGAGGGAAGTTGCAGCTGTAAGGAACAGCGGCAAAGACGGCTCTAATAAAGAGCAACATCGCAAGGTATTTAGCCTTGCTGCAATGCGCTACCTGCATGCCATGCTGCACTACCTGCATGCCTGTTGCACTACCTGCATGCCAGGGTGTATTGGCGCCCCACTGCAGGCAGAGGCACGGGGTGAGCTGCAGGGAAGGAGGAAGGCGTTTCAGGCAGGGCGGATGGCAGAGGCTGGGGCGGGGGGTGCTGCGCGACGACGAGGGCGCCCCTGGGGGACGTGGTGTCCTGCAGCTGCAGCAGCAGAGACGCCGGCCCATAGCTGCTGATGCTAGATGGCGTCTGTGGGGCGGGGGGGGGGAGAGGGGGGGGAGGGGAGGCGGAGAGACAGACGCGAAGGAGGATGGGTTAATTACGTGGGATGCGATGTGGTGATTACGTGGGATGCGATGTGATGCGAAGGGGCGTGAGTTCGAAACGGCTCATCACAAACTGCCTCCATTTCAGAAAAGCAAGGTAGCGGAAAAGCGTGGGCATGGATGATGGCGGCTAGAAAGGGCTGTGGGACGGGAATGGGGCTACCTGCGCGAGTTCAGAGAGGGCCAGCTGCATGTCAGCCACCGCAAAGGCGAACCCTACCACTGCTGCTTGCACCTCATCTGCACTAGCGTTGGGTGGCATGGCTTGTCTGTACACGGGCACTGATGCCACCACTGCTCTCTGCTGCTGCTCCACAGACGGTTGAGCTGCTGCTGTTGCTGCTGCAGCCAAGGACGGCGAGGAGGAAGGATTGGCGGGGAACGACCATGGTTGGGTGGTGTGCAGGCCAAAGGAGGCGGCAGTGGTGGTGGGCGTGGGGTCGGGGTCGGGGAAGGACGTGGAGTTGCCAGGGAAGGGGAAGAGAGGGGCGAAGGGCGGGGAGAGGGCGCAGGGCAGGCGGAGAGAGAGGGCGGATTGCGCAGAGACGGCAACAGCGGGGCCCAGCTGGGGGACTGTGGGGAAGAGAAGGGGGGTGGGCATTCACAGGGGAGGATTAAGGGAATGCAGATGCCTCACGGCATGCTGGCTTATGCTTCAAGTCAAGGGGCGTGCAACTGCTGGCAATACGGCAGGCGTTGCTTTTGGCGTCTGTGCAGTGTCATGTGATGTGGCATGGGTGGGTGGCTGGCAGGTACTCGAATGGATAAGGCGTTGTGCAAACAGCAAACAACAACGAGTACACCAACTCACTGACACGTCCAAGAATCACAACCCCCACTCCCCCGCCCTCAGTGCACACACCAGCCAGCATGTCCAGGCCAATGTAAGCCGGCCCCACGCCACTGCTGCTGCTGCTGCTGCTGCTGCTGCTGCTGCTGCTGCTGCTGCTGCTGCTGTTGCTGGCGAGGTGAGAGAGGCAGACAGCGAGGGTGGGAGAGTAGTGGAGCAGTGGCAGGTAGAGCTGCTGCTGAGGCATGCACGCCCCGCTGGCATTCCTGATCGCGTGCGCGCATGCAGGGACATGGGCGGGGGAAGTTGGAAGGAGAGGCGGGCAGTGGGCATGAAGCGCGGGGCGAGGTATGCATGTGGATGCTTGGGCAGCACGGGCTACTGAGGGGAGGAGAGGATGTGAGGGGAGAAGAGAATGTGAGGGGGGAGTGAACGTGCAGAGGGGAGAGAATTTGGGCGGAGGAGAGAAAGTGAGGGGAGGAGGGAATGTGAGGAAGGAGGGATTGTGAGGGAGGAGGGGAGGGGAGAATATGAGGCGTGGTCACTGTGAATCGCATGAATCGCATGAATCGCATGAATCGAGCATGAATCGAGCATGACACGAGGGAGAAAGCGAGGAAGGCGGCCAGCATGCAAGGGATGGCGCGCGCACCAGATGCAGGAGTCGTTGAGGACGAGGGTCTGGAAGGGAGCGCGCGAGGAGTGATTCAGGGAGAGCGAGTACCCCATGGCAGTCGTCCCTTGCCCCCACCCACTCGCCCCCGCCCCACCCCCCACCCCTGCTGCAGCAGACAGTGGGGTCGGCAGGGGGAATGCGAGCAGCGGGCGGGTGTAGTCGGTGGAAGCCACGAGGCGCACAAAGGATGCCTGCACGCCCGAGTGGGGAGGGGGGGGGGGGAGAGGGGGGTGGCGGCAGGGGCCGAGGAGGTGGTGGGAAGGCACCGCATTGGGGTGCACAAGGGAGAGGGATGCGCAATCCATGTTAAAAGGCTTTCTCAAACTAGCTGCCGCAGACAACGAGTGACCTCTGGCAATCAGCCTTCATGTGATTTACGGTTTCACTCTGCTGCCACACGTGCTGCCACACGTGCTGCCATACCTGATCCACAGCCGCATGCAGCACTGTGAGCGTGTCTCCCAGGGCCCGCACCCCTCCCAGCGATGCCTGCAGCGAGGTGCCCAGCTCATGCGCCCACAGTGCACACTGCGATGACAGCGACGCCTGTGGGGCGGGCAGCACCATGCACACAGAAAGCACGCCGCATCGCACACAGCGGTACAGGCACGCAACAAGCCCACCATGGCACACAGTGGTACAGGCACGCAACAAGCCCACAATGGCACGCTATAGCGCGCACCATACAATGCACTCAACAGCGCGCATCAACCAACCTCATCGCACTGCACAGCCCCTGTTCTGCCCGACCTTTCTCCCAACCCCCTTTTGCCCGGCCCGTTCTCTCGATCCCCTTCTGCCTGAGACCTGCGGAACCCATTCCCCCACGGCAGCAGCGCGCGCGGCACCTGGAGGGCGGCGACGTGGAGGTAGTAGACGAGGCAGAAGAGCCCTGCGGCCGCGCCCGCACACAGCGCCGACGCGCACACCACCACCGCGCGCCGCCGAGCCACCAGAAACGCTAGGCTCGGCGCGAGAAACGGGCAACCGCTGCGCGACTGCTGCTCGCCCTCTTTGTCCGCTCCCGCCAACCCCCCGCCTCCTCCCCCCCCATCCACTGCTCCGCCGCCACCGCCTCCGCTGACCGTCCGCGGCACCAGCGGAGCTTCCGCCATACTACCTGACGCCCGCTTGGGCTCGGGGGACCTGCGGAGCGCCGAGAGCTTCACATAGTGGCGCCCCTTAAAGCCCGCGGCCTTGACACGAAGCGGCTCCGACTCAGAATCCATCGGCTTCCGCCAATCTATCGATATCCATCGACTTCCGTCAAGCTATCGTTATCCATCGGCTTTCGTCAAGCTATCGTTACCCATCGACTTCCGTCAAGCTATCGTTCCCCCATAGGCGTCGTGTTCCGTCAAGGTATCACTGGCCATCAATTTCCGTTAAGGTCTCAATAGCCATCCAAGGAGAGCCGCACGGCAGGCGCGGAGGCCCCACATCTGACGCACGGTGGTGCTGCCTGGCGCGCGAGGAGAGAGACAACAGACGAGACTTGCGCAGGGTGAGGTGAGGGGAGATGCGAGGAGAGCGAACAAACTTTCTGACGAAAGCAAGTCCTTGCAGAGGAAGCAGGGCGGGTAGAGTTGGCCTGTGGTGGGACAGATTCCCTTCCCAGCCGTTCAGCCTGATGTTGTCTTGTCTCTCCTCCCTGAGCAGCCCCTGCATGTCGAAGCAGTGTAACAACTCGGGATTAGAAAATGCACACACCACTATCCTAAACGCCGCAGACTAGCCATTGTACCGAACCTGCCACAAACGAGGTGTGGACCCCCTGCTTCAAGGGGGCAGTTGGTGGAATGAGCAAGGCAGAGGAGGAGGGGGGCGGGGCAGGGAGGGCTAATAGGGGTGGCTGGCTGCGCCGAAAGCAACAACTTGTGCCACGTGATTCTGATCAAATCGCCTCCCCCCCCCCCACAGTCACACAGTGGACACCGCCTGTCTGTCCCCCATAGTGCACGATTGCGACTAGGATTTGGATGCCTTTCGATTTTGTTATGCTGTATCGATTTCAGGTGTATTTCCGCCGTACAACTCCCTGCCTCCCCGCAATTACGACACCCTTGATGACCCTATTGCGTCCTCCAGCACCCGATCAGCCGCGCACCTGCATGCATGCATATCCTCACCTCACCCCACCTCACATGCCGTTTCATCTCACACGTGTCGTCCCTTAGAATCGCCGCGTCCGCCGCATGAGGCGCTTGAGGCTCACTTGTGACTGCGGCACCCGCCACGCTGCTAGCTGAACTTGTGCCGAGCAGCGTGAGCGCGCCGAGCAGCGCGGAGGCAGAGCGCGCCGAGCCCCGCATCCTCATGTCGTCCCCGGTTCGCCCGCCGCTCGGCTCCCCTCCTGTCTCTCCCGTCGTACCCGACAATCCGCCGCCAGCATTGCGTGCGCCATGCGCGCAGGAACGGATAGAGGCGCAGGAGCGGATAGAGGCGCAGGAGCGGGTGGAGGCGCAGGAGCGGTTAGACGCGTTGTGGCAGGAGGCGGAGGAGAGCGACAGCACGCGCCGCACGCACAGCCTGCGCGCGCCCGGGGATGCGTCGCCCACGGCATCGCCGTCGCCCAGGCGGCCCGGCAGCTACGCCAACCGCCGCGTGCGCTCGCTGTGGTCGTCGGGCTCGCCGCTGTCGTCGCCGCAGCAGGCGGGGGGCCCGCGTCACAGCCAGCAGTGGTCGTCGGTCGCCGTGCCCTTCTCCTTCTCCTTCTCCTCGCCGCTCTCCCCCGCCGGGCTCGCCGCGGACGAGTCGTCGCCGCGCCATGCGCTCACTCGCACGGCGGACGGTAAGGAGCAGCCGTGCGGGGGCGAGGAGGAGCGGGAGAGGGAGGCGGAGCGAGCGGCGAGGCACAAGCCGTCCAAGTCGGTGGGGTCGCTGCCGTTCCTCCAGATGGCGCAGTGGTCGCGCTCCTCCCCCAACCTCCGCTCCCCCGTAAGCCCCTCCGCCGCCCTAGCCTCCCCCTCCGACACCGCCTGGTCGCTTCCCGCCTTCGCCAAGTCGGTAACGCTACGCTCTTCGCCCAGGGCCGCCACTTCGCCCAGGGCCGCCGCCACGTTGTCCAAGGACCCCACCACCTCAGTAGCGCGCGCAGCGGCGACGAGCGCCGAGGCGCCGCGCATTCCGCAGAGCCGCACCGTCGACCTGGTCGCGTCGCCTGCTGCCCTCGCCGCCGCCCCGCCAGCGTCGCGTGCGGACAGGCGCCGGTCGGCGGAAGCGGAGGTTGCGGGTGGCGGCATGGGCGGTGGGAACAGCCCGTTGGGGGGCGGTGCATGGCGCAAGCCCGCGGCGGGCCACAGGCGCAGCGAGGGCGGAAGAGAGCAGACGCTGAGCGCTGTGTTGGGGGAAGGCGCAGGGGAAAGGGCGGGTGCAGGGGAGGGGGACAAGGGATGGACGTCCTCTGGCGGGCGCGGTTACAGGTGGCGGGGCAAGGCAGCGCTGCCGCAGCTGAATGTGGGGCGGCAATCCATGCACAGCGCGCAGCACAGCGCGCAGCACAGCGCGCAGCAGCAAGCATCCACAGTGCTGCAGCAGCTATGCCCGCCCATCTCCCCCCCCATCTCCCCACATGCCTCTTCCCGGTGCTCCCCCAAAATCTCTCCAAACCCTTCCCCGAACGCCTCCCAAAAACCATCCGCCAGGCCATACCTGTGCTCGCCACGCTCCCCCTCTGCGCCAGCAGCAGCAGCAGCAGCAGCAGCATCGCCGCGGTCGCAGGTGGTGATGGTGCGGAGCTTCATGGAGCACCGGCGGCGAGTGGCGGAGGCAGAGGAGAGAGAGGCGCAGGAGCTGGGGGAGGGGCCGGAGGGAGGCAGCAGGGGGCAGGGGAGAGGGGGGCTGGAGGGGAGGCGGGGAGGCGAGAGGACGAGTGAGGCAGTGCAGAGCACGGGCGGGATGGCAGCAGCAGGGCGTGAAGCGGAGGAGGCTGCAGGAGGTGCAGGGGCACAGAGGGAGGGTGGGAGGGAGGGGGCGAGGGTGAGCCTTGGAGCGGCAGCAGGCGTGCAGCCCATGGAAGAGCGGGCGGGCCCGGGCAGCAGGCAGACGGGCGTGGCGGGAGATCCATGCTGCAGGGACGGTGGGCGCGCGGCCAGTGGTGGGGGCGAGCAGGTGCGGGTGGAGGCGGTGGTGGGAGCAAATGGTCTGTCAGCGAACGCGGAGGGTGGGGGAGGGGCAGGTGGGAGAGAGGAGCGAGGAAGGGAGGTTCAGGGAGCAGGGGTCATAAGTGAGCGGCAGCAGCAGCGAATGCAGTGGCTGCAGCAGCAGCAGTGGCAAGGGCAGGAGGTGGGAAGGCAGGGATGCAGATTGGAGGAAGGTGCGATGGTACAGTGTGCTTCCCTGCCCTGCACCACTCGCTCTCCTCCCATACCCCGACATGCTTCCGCCCCTCTCCGCACCCTCCTGCCCCTCCACTCTGCTGTTCCTCTTTCCCCCCACCGCCCGCTCACCGCCTCGCCCCACAGCCCACCCAGCGACCTCTACCCTGCATGGCAGCAGGCGCGGCTTGCGCCGGATGAGGGCAGGGCGGGGTCGGGGCAGCAGGAGGAGGCGAAGCAGGTTGGAGGAAGCCAGAGGGGCCATGGTGACGCAGCAGCCAGCTCGCACACCGTTCTTGCTACCTGCCACAGCCCCTCCCCTGCGCGCTCCAAACCACCCCAAAGCCCTCGGCCTGCCTTGTGCCCCAAGCATGGCTCTCATGCACCTCGCACCACTGGCAGCCTTGGGATCCCCCATGCCTGCGCCCCGCCCCACAACCGTGACCCCACCCATCACCCTCATGCCACCTTCTCACACTCCCTCCGCGCCAACCCCATGGCTCTTCCTCTCTCCCTCTCGTCCCCACTCCCCTCCCCATGCCACTCGCAAGGCAGCCCCTTGAGCAGCCCCTTGAGCAGTCCCTTCAGCAGCCCTCAGAGCAGCCCGCGGGATGGTGTGAGTCGCAGCAGCACAGCCAGCACCAGACGCTCCCTGCCCAGCCCCCACTCCCAGCACTCGCCCCGCAGCAACCGCATGCCACCACCCGCTGTATGTTCTTCCCCTACACGCGCTGCGGACTGCGAGCAGCAGCACAGAGGGCATGCCCCGCTCCCGTTGTCAATGGGCGGCAGCCAAGGCGCGCCTTCCAGCCCTCGCACGCCCAGAAGTCCGCTTGCATCTCCCAGCCAAGGCTCACATGGCAGGCGGGGCAAGGGCGGCAGCACAGACGGCATGAGCAGATCTCTGAGCCCCTCCCGCAGCCCCCGTCGCGGCCCTGCACCTGACGCCTCTGCCATGCGTGCATGGCGGCATGGTGAGAGCACGGTGCAGGGAGGCGCAGGGAGCGGGGCGCGGGGCTCCGGGAGTAAGTCCTCGCATTCGTTCAAGCACCACAGCAGCTGCCAGGCGGCTTTCGGCCGGCCAGCAGATGGGGGCAGAGGTGGGAATGGGCAGAATGGTGGTGGGGCAGCGGGTGGAGCAATGGAGAGTGGCAGCATGGGCAGTATCCAGCAGGCTGAGAGGGCGCAGGTTGAGAGCAGGTCAGTGTGGTCCAATGCAAGCCAGCGGCAGCACAGCTGTCAAATGCCTCTAAGTGCAGCCGCCCCTAGGCTGCAGTCTAGAGGCTCTCAGCCAATGCTGAGGCGCCACACGTATGCTTCCACCCCCTCTGTTGTGATCCCTGGGCCCATGCTGCCCCAACAGCCTCATGCCCCCGACCGCTGCACTCCTCCCCTTAGTCCCACGCCAGGCAGGCCAGCAGGCAGCAGCATGGGAAGCAGGAAGGAGGATGGTAGAGAGGGGGAGCAGAGGGATGCAGGGCCGGGCAGCGGCGTTGAGGTTGTTGCTGCGGTTGCTGTTGCTGGTGAAGATAATGGAGGAGGGGCGGCAGATGCGAGGCGCAGGTGAGAGCGAGGATCATCACCATCGCCGGTGCTTTGGTATGTCCACCATCGCATGGTACATGCATGATGAACACATGGTGCATGCATGATGAACACATGGTGCATGCATGATGAACACATGGTGCATGCATGATGAACACATGGTACATGCATGATGAACACATGGTGCATGCATGATGAACACATGGTGCATGCATGATGCATGCACGGTGCATGCATGGTGCATGAAAGGAGCACACATGGTGCATGGATGGTGCATGCATGGCGTGTGCTGGTCAGGCATCTGAGTCTCGGCTTCCTCTTCTGTGCGTGCAGGTTTCGAAGAGAGCTGTCTCTCAGTGGATACTTGAGCTCTGGGTAGCCTTCACGTGAACCCAGCCATGGCTGGGTAGACCCCATGCACCAGATTTCCAGCCCATTTAGAAACTCGTGCCCATGTGCCGTTGAGGGTGTGCCGGTTAGGAACCGCCAGGCCGTATTTGATTTGAGTTGCTCATTGAGAGTTTGCTGGACAGTGAGGAGGGCCTGCTGCTGATGGCACTGCAAGATCGTCGTGTTGCAACAGCATCTTTCGTGTTAAGCAGGGCTGCACAAGACATTAGCAAGTCACTTTGCATGTTGCTTCGGCATCCACGTGAGCCCAAAGCTTGCATCCTTTCTTGTCTCATCGCACCTGCACTGACTTGCTGTGTATGAAGGCCATTCCATGGATTTCACTCATCCTGCCTGCTGCTCGTGACGGTGCGCACGTGGAAGGCACCAGCGCGCACATGGCCATGCACAACAGGCGCCACCACCACATGAGCACACATCTGCTTCTGATGAATGTGATGGCTGCTGCCGAGTGCGCGTGGGCACAAGCCTGCTGCTGGTAGCAGCCAGTGCGTGTGATGCTATTGCTGAGGGCCTGCCTGTCTGAGCAGCCCCAACTCATTGCCTATGAGTCGGAAAATGATGGCACACAGGTTGGACAGGTCTGCATCTCTGCACCCAGAAGAGCCGCGGACGGAGGGCACAAGAAAAGGGACCGGGAATGGGGAGGAAGGGGGGGGGGACATGGAAGGGGGCATGGGTGCAGGGAGGGGCGTAGTGAGGTGGGTGGAGCACGCTGGCGCAGTGGAAGATGACAAAAAAGGGCCAACGATGTGTATGGCGAGGGTGAGGGGGCAACACGGAAGGGCAGGGTGAACCTGAGAAAGACGAGGTCGCAGAGGGGCGAGTAGAGCAGCAGCAGGTGTGCTCTCTGCCACCCCAGCTGCCGCCCCTCGCTGTCCACAAACCGACCGGCCACACTGTCCCTCTCCCACGGCCTCTCTAGGGTGTCCCTTGACAGCGCGTCACCAGCGGCTGCTCCCTGCGCTGTGGCATGTGCCTCGGCACTGGCCTTGGGCGCGATGGGCACGTCCACAGCAGCGGCCACGAGGGGGTGCAGCACCAGGCGCACCAACTCCTGCAGCAGCAGCAGCATCTCCGCCAGCCGCACCGGCGGCATGGCTGCTGAGCCTGCTGACAGGCACGCACAGGGCAGAGGCACAAGGGGCCGGCAGGGTGGAAAGGTAGACAAGGAAGGAAGAGAAAGGACTGCAGAGGACGGGGCAGCGATGGGAGGCAGTGCACGAGTGCAGGGACGTGGCTCAGCAGACTAGCAGACACTCAGGCAAACAGGCATGCCAGCCACCAAAGCATACAACTTACTGTGCTCCTATCATCAGCCTTGGCCCCTGCAGTAAGTCCCCTTCTGGTGACCCACATGCACGTAAGCCCCGCCTCCTGGTCCCACTGGCCAACGCACCTGCTTGGATGGAGTCGGCAGTGAAGCGGTGCAGAATGGTACGGCAGCGCGCAACCAACCGGGGCAGCACCAGCCGCCCCACCGCCACCGACGATGATGCCAGGCTGTCATCCGGCCGGCCTTGCCTGGCTCACATGCAAGCAGGACCCGTGGAGGAAGGGGGGGGGAGACACATGCCCAAAAGACGTTGGGGGTGAACAGGTAGAATAGATGCAGTGCGTATTCAGTCTGTGCTATGCCAGGGTACATGCATGCATGGAGAGACACGCAGGGCAGATGGGACACGCTGACAGGCCACTGGGAGGCAGATGAGTGCAACCAGGCCGGGAGGCACCCACCCTGCGAGCATGAAGAGGCGGGAGAGGCAGGCGAGGGAGAAGCGTGCGCAGTGGGCTGGCAGGGCTGCAGCAGCAGCCAGGGGCACGGCGCAGGTGCGGGCAGCACAGGCATCCAACACTGCCACCAGCCGCTCCTGCACCTGCAGGATTGGGAGGGGGGAGCGGGGGATATACACACGGAGGGGGGAGCGGGGGATGTTGATGCATGTGGATGGGTAAAGATACTGGATGACAGGGATGCCAGCAGTATCCTGGCTCAGCGAGATGGTGCATTGTGAGGGAATGACATCACAGTCGGATCCAAAACGAGAAGGGAGCAGGGGTTACCTCATGGGGGGCATCATGGCAGTGTGTGAGCACGCGGGTGCAGAGGGTGTCGAGGAACAGCGCCTCCAGCATCTCGTCTGCCTCCACCACCTCCCGCGTCAGCAGCTCCGCCACGCCCCATGCCGACCCTGCCTCTGCTGCCCACCCACCGCTGCCCGCACCACCACCTGCCCTCCCTCCGCTGCTACCTGTGCCCCAATCGCTGCTCTCTGCCTCCCCTGCCCCTCTCACAGCAGGCACCGCTGTTCCCCCTGCCCCTGGTGCCCGCCCCGCCCCGCTCCCACTGCCACCGAGACTGCCACCACCAGGGGCTCCTCTTTTCCTCGGGCTGCTCCCTGCGCTCTCCCCTCCCCCCACCCTGGGGGAGCGCCTGGGGGAATGGCCGGGGGGCGCTGCTGCTGTGGGCTCTGGTGCAGCGAGGGTGGGCGGTGGCAGCATGGCCGTGCCACACGTGCCCAGCACAAACTGCTCCACCACCCCTGCCAGCTCAAACCACATGCGCTGCCGAGCACCCACGCCTTCACTGCTGCCGCTGCTGCTACCCTCCATTTGTGACTCTTGGTGGTGCTTGATGTGATGGTGGGTGGGAGAGGTGTGAGTGGGGGAGTGTGGGTGTACAGGAGAGAGAGGGTCTGACGGAGAGAGAGGACTGCTGTGTGTTGCAAGTGGGGGGTCCGGAGGGAGGGCGTGTTTGAGGACGTCAGAGAGAGTGGCAACAGCGGTGCGCCACAGCTGAAGGTCGGGCGAGTGGCGGCGAATCAGCATGCACCTGTGCCATGCACGTGTGCAGCAGGGACGAGAACACGGTGGGGAACACAACATGGTATCGGATGAGACCAAGGGATGAGACCAAGGGATGAGACCAAGGGATGAGACCAAGGGATAAGCAGAAGCTGGCAGGACAGGTGGGTGGAGACACATGAGCATCCCACTTCAGCGCACCCACTGGCGTCTCCCCCCCTGCTGCGTGTGCGCCCACCTCACCTGCCCAGCGCAGCAATGAGGTCAGGCAGGACGGCGGCGCGGGCATCAGGCGGCGCGTTGAGAAAGAGCTCGAGCAGCAGCGCCACCACGCGGTCCTGCAGCGCGGGGGAGAGGGCGCCTGGGGCCGTCACAGGGTAGCTCAGCATGAACGACCCCGTGGGGTTGCCTGATGTCGGCACGTACACCGCTGCCGGCGCAAACAGCTGCACCTTGCCGCCCAGAGATAGGCCAAATGATGTCGTTCCGCTACTACTGGTGCTGCTGATGCTGTTCGAGGCAGCGTGTGTGGCCCCTCCATTGGCCCCTTGCTGACCAGCGTCGCCCTCGCTGTCTGCCTCGCCCACATCCCCCCCACCATCCTCTCCTCCTCCGCCTCCTCTCTCTTCCCCACTACCATCGCACCTGATACCCCTCGTGCCCCCCACAGCCCCTGCGGCGCGAGCCAGGGCGGCCTTGGGGGCGTGGCGCTGCGTGGCCTCGGACAGGAAGCGCGGCGGCACACGGCAGTGCGAGCAGAGCAGCCGGTCCCCACCGGGCAGGTATGCCAGCAACTGGCGCAGCAGCGCGGGCCACAGATGCGCGTGCGCCGATGGCTGCAGGCGCGGCAGCACCTCCAGCACCGTGCGCTGCACCTGCGGCAGCGTGCCCTGGCAGGAGGCACGTCACGGCAGCGTGGGGGGGAATTTGGGGGGGGGGGGGGGGGGGGAATTGAAGGGTGCAGCGAGCAGTGGCAAACGAGACTGTGCAGTTTTGGAGCGGACAATATTGCTCGAAACACAGACGGAGTTGACGGAAAGCTTCAATGGTAAGCACACACGGGTCGGCAAGACAGCATCGCGTTCTGAGTGGCGTTTAAAGGGCGTACAGCGAGGGGAGGGGGTTCGGAGGGCAGCACGGGGCAGCGGGCCATGACGTCCACGCAGGCGAGCACGCGCAGATAGTCGGAGTCCTCAAAGGCGAGGCTGGCGCTGCTGTAGATCTCACCCAGGTCCTCCAGCAGCTTCTGCCGTGTGCGCGTGGCCACACACGAGTCGCGCGCCGTGCTCTCGCGCAGCAGCACCTCGTACGCGTCCATGCTGCTCTCCCAGTAGTGCCGCGGGATGTTGCCCTGCTGCCCGGTGGCGGGTGGGTAGTGGGGTCACGCACACAGCACGGTGCGGTAGGTGGGGCAGGACGGTGAGGACTCAGGACAGCATGGAGTGGTGGTGGGATGCACGGTCACGGCATATGGCATGTCTGAGCATCATGGTACTACGCGCATTGTCAATGTCAACTTGGTGGTAAGAGTAAGCATGGTAGTCACCTTGGTGGTATGTTTGAGCATAATGATCACCTTAGTAGCATGAGAGCATAATGATCACCTTAGTAGCATGAGAGCATAATGATCACCTTAGTAGCATGAGAGCATAATCATCACCTTAGTAGCATGAGAGCATAATGATCACCTTAGTAGCATGAGAGCATAATGATCACCTTAGTAGCATGGGAGCATAATGATGATCACCTTAGTAACATGTGAGCATAATGATCACCTTAGTAGCATGTGAGCATAGTGATCACCTTAGTAGCATGTCAGCATAGTGATCGCCTTAGTGGCATGTGAGCATAATGATCACCTTAGTGGCATGTGAGCATAACGATCACCTTGGTGGCATGTGAGCAAAATGATCACCTTAGTGGCATGTGTGAGCATGATGGTCTGCAGCGTGCTGGCAGCAGCAGCACTGACTTCTCTACTGCCTGCCAGCACGCCCTCCTCCACGAACTGCAGCAGCGCGCCCCACACTGCCACCGCCATGGCAACGGGTGGGACAGGGGCGTGAGATGCCAGTTGGGAGGAGGAAAAGGAAAGCATGGGGAACAGAAAATGGGAAGGCGGTTGTCGTAGTGGAAGAGCGTAATAGCATTGCATGCAGCTTCCAACATGGGGGGTTCGCACACAGAACAGCTTTGCATGCACCGCTGGCAGGCAGCAAGAACTGCACGGCACGCTGCTCCTCCCTCCAACTACTCATAAGATCCGCACCTTCCTGGAAGTTGTCCATGGCATGCAGCAGAGGGAAGAAGGCGCGAATGAGTCTGGCGAGCCCGTTGAGCGCCATGACCAGCGTCTCGTCCCACTGCTTCTGTGCTGTGTTGCGGCTGTGGTGCACCAGCATCATCACACTCCTCCCCCCCTGCCGCCCGATCTCCGTCCCTGGGGCCTCGTCTCTAGATGCCGTGGCTGCCTGCAGAGAAGAGGCGTGAAGAGGGTTGAGGAGAAACAAGTTGGTGTGTGCTTATGCTCGGTCACTGGCAGGCGTTTGGTCAGAAGTGATGTGCGCTGTGACTGATTCTGACGTGGTTGGTGTTAACTGGGACCGACTGGCATTCTCACAACGACCAGCATTGAGTGCAGTTGACTAGCACTGACTACAGCGGATTAACGTTCTGGAACTGAGTGGCATTGTGATTGACTAACATTGGCCAGCAGGGAGGGGCGGCGACTCACAAGGGAGCGCACGGAGTCGATGAGGGGGAAGATGAGCTCCCACAGGCACCGCCGCCAGGTGGGCGGGGGCAGCTTCGCGCCGTGGCTGACCACCGTCTGGAAGAGTGTGCGCATGGCCGCGTTGCGCACCTCAGGCCGCCCGTCCTTGGCCCTCGCTTCCACCACGCACAACACCGCCAGCAGCAGCCCACTGCTCCGTTCATCCAACACCCTCCCACTGCCAGATCCCCTCCCCTGCCCCACTCCCCCATCCAACCCCTCACCCCCCTCTCCCCCTTTTCTCCCCCCCCCATGTGTGTGTGGCGGCTTTCTTTGGATCCTAGTGAAGGTGGACGGCGTGGCTGAGGCTGGCAGCTTCAGTGCCGATGCCGTGGCTGCTGTGGCTGTTGCCGCCGCTGGTGGCTCCGAACAAGGGAGAGAGGCGGCAGGGGAGGCGGAGGAGAGAGGGGGTGCTGCAGTGGAAGAGGAGGAGGAGGCCGGGAGAACACTCTGGCTGAGAAGCGTGGAAACTGGGGAGACGAAGGGGGTGGGAGGAACAAACGCAGGGGTGGGGAACGCTGGGAGCACTGTGTAATGGTGAGGGAGAAGTGTCAGACATGCAAAAATAGGTAAGAGAATAGCCTACAAGAGATAAAAAAAAAGTAAGGCCTACAAGGGAGAAAGTCGAAGGCTTAGGCTTGAAACAGAGAGTGGTGCAAAGCGGTCTCACAGGTGGCAGTGCGGTGTGTGGTGGTGGCGTGGTCCAGACCGCGTGCAAAGAAGTCGGCCATGGTCCACAGCAGACCCACGGACGTGAGAGAGATGTTCACATCCGCCACCTGCCCCGCAAACGCCCCCACCACCTCAACACACCTGGCGCACACACAAGGGGAAGACCGCAGTGACAAGGGCATGGCTGGCGCTGAGGACAGATGGGGTGAACAGAACAGCTGCAAAATACTGCAGCGGAGCATGTTTGACAAGTCAAGTGGGCCGTTTGTTTGTGACATGGGCAGGAGGAGCATGATGCACGGGGACGGGGACAAAAGGGCACGATGCTGTGTTAGTACGGCATGGCATGGTGGCACGCCATTGTGTGGCAGAATGGCGACTGACAGTTGAAGGGTGTGAGGCGGAATGGAGGAGAGGCAGTCGTTGACCACCACCAGCTCACTCTGCCATGGCATGCAAGGAGGCAAGGGGGCGCGCAAGGAAACACAGGTGTGTGTGATTGGCTAGTGCGCAGCCAAATAGATATTCATATTGTAGGTACACAGCAAAATGCCCTTGCAAATTAGCTGAATGGAAAATGGACAAGGGCAGCAGGTACATTTCCCTCCCCACCAACCTACCCACCCAAAAAGCAAACTTACCTGAATGGTAAAACCCACCTGAAAGGCAAAACCCATCTGCAAGGCAAGATTCACCTGAACAGCAGGACCCACCTGAAAGGCTAGACCCACTAGGTCCTTGTCATTCGTTGATGCCACCGTCCTGGTCGTGCACGGCACAGCATGGAATACATGGGTGTGTGAAACGCCATGGGACGGCATGCAACGGCGTGGGGGTGTGATGCTATCATGGCGCAATATGGATCTGAGTGGTACGCGGCAACGAGACTTGAATGGCATTAGGTGCTGAAGCTGATGTCAACAGCATGGCGTGACCCCATTGAGCCCACCTCAGGAGGTGGAGGACAGTGGGCCAGGTGGAGTGCAGCTTCTCGCCATGGCGCTGCGACAAAGGCAGTGGGGGTTGGGGGAGATGTGGAAACGGCCGGATGAGAGGGGCGGGACACTGATACGACAGGACAGGACGATAGGGGCGGGAAAGGAGAGGGGAAGGGGAGAGGAGTACGAGGAAGGGGGAAGGGAGACGATGGGAGTGAGAAGAAGGGAGCACAAGACCAGCAATATAAACTGTGCTACAAGTATTGCCTGACTCACTTCCAGCATGTGCCTGACTCACTTCCAGCATGTGCCTGACTCACTTCCAGCAGGTGCCTGACTCACTTCCAGCATGTGCCTGACTCACTTCCAGCATGTGAAGCAGGATGCGCAGTGCACCTGCTTTCACCTCTGCATCCCTGCCATCTCTCCACAGAGTGCTAACAGCCCCCACCACCATTTCCTCCAGAGCCACCCTTTCCCGTCCCTCTCCCTCGCCCTCTCCCTCTCCCTCGCCCTCCCCCTTCTCCTGCCCGCTCCCTTCGCCTCCCTCCCGTTCCTCCTTCCCCTGCACCTCCACCCATTGCTGCTCCTCAGTAGCCCGTGCCATGGTGACAGTGGAGGAGGAGGAGGAGGAGGTGGAGGAGCGGCGGTGCAGGGCGGGCGATGAGAGTGCGGCCATGACGGCGCGGTCAATGGCATCCACCGCCACCGCACGCACCTGGGCACTGTCGTGCGCCGACAGCTGGGGACGCCAGGAACGGGCGCGGAGGGGGAAGGAGAGGGCAGGACGGGGGAAGGAGAGGGGAGGAAGGGGGAAGGAGAGGGGAGGAAGGGGGGAGGAGAGGGGAGGAAGGGGGAAGGAGAGGGGAGGAAGGGGGCAGGAGAGGGGAGGACGGGGGAAGGAGAGGGGAGGACGGGGGAAGGAGAGGGGAGGAAGGCGGAAGGAGAGGGGAGGAGGGGGGGAGGAGAGGGCAGGAAGGGGGGAGGAGAGGGGAGGAAGGGGGGAGGAGAGGGCAGGAAGGGGGAAGGAGAGGGCAGGAAGGGGGGAGGAGAGGGGAGGAAGGGGGAAGGAGAGGGGAGGAAGGGGGGAGGAGAGGGGAGGACGGGGGGAGGAGAGGGGAGGACGGGGGAAGGAGAGGGGAGGAAGGGGGAAGGAGAGGGGAGGAAGGGGGGAGGAGAGGGGAGGAAGGGGGAAGGAGAGGGGAGGAAGGGGGGAGGAGAGGGGAGGAAGGGGGAAGGAGAGGGGAGGAAGGGGGGAGGAGAGGGGAGGAAGGGGGAAGGAGAGGGGAGGAAGGGGGGAGGAGAGGGGAGGACGGGGGAAGGAGAGGGGAGGAAGGGGGAAGGAGAGGGGAGGACGGGGGAAGGAGAGGGGAGGAAGGGGGGAGGAGAGGGGAGGACGGGGGGAGGAGAGGGGAGGAAGGGGGAAGGAGAGGGGATGACGGGGAAAGGAGAGGCGAGGAAGGGGGAAGGAGAGGGGAGGACGGGGGAAGGAGAGGGGAGGAAGGGGGAAGGAGAGGGGAGGAACGGGGGAGGAGAGTGGAGGACGGGAGAAGGAGAGGGGAGGAAGGGGGAAGGAGTGGGGAGGACGGGGGAAGGAGAGGGGAGGACGGGGGAAGGAGAGGGGAGGACGGGGGAAGGAGAGGGGAGGACGGGGGAAGGAGAGGGGAGGACGGGGGAAGGAGAGGGGAGGAAGGGAGAAGGAGAGGGGAGGACGGGGGAAGGAGAGGGGAGGAAGGGGGAAGGAGAGGGGAGGACGGGGGAAGGAGAGGGGAGGAAGGGGGAAGGAGAGGGGAGGAAGGGGGGAGGAGAGGGGAGGACGGGGGAAGGAGAGGGGAGGAGGGGGAGGAGGGGGAAGGAGAGGGGAGGAAGGGGGAAGGAGAGGGGAGGACGGGGGAAGGAGAGGGGAGGAAGGGGGAAGGAGAGGGGAGGAAGGGGGGAGGAGAGGGGAGGAAGGGGGAAGGAGAGGGGAGGAAGGGAAAGGAGATAACGATGGCCCATGGGAAGAGGGGTGATGCGCGCAGACGCCAGGACGACCGTGTGGGTCGAAGAGCAAGCGAACACAGCCACTTCCCAATGAATGCAAAGGCATACCTCCAGTAGATGCAGCAGGAGGGCATCCCATATGAGATCCATTCCTGCAACAGGTCACACATGGATATGGCGGGGGTGAATAACGTCAGAGTGATGCCACCATGAACCACACAGCTTCTTCTGCTACCACTCACTGTAAATGCGTGTTGTCCCACCACTCACAGTGCATGTTGTGCCACTCACGGTGCATGTTGTGCCACTTACGGTGCATGTTGTGCCACTTACGTTACGGTGCATGTTGTGCCACTCATGGTGCATGTAGCATCACCACTCACGGTGCATGTTGTGCCACTCACGGTGCATGTTGTGCAGGAGGACGGAGAGCATGCGCTCCACAGCGAACATCTTGAGGGTGGAGGGCAGCGGCCCCGTGGTGAGGGGAGACGCCACGGCCGCCGCAGCAGATGTGCCAGCGGCGGCAGCAGCGGCAGAGGAGCCAGAGGCGGCGAGGCCGAGGCCGGAGGTGACGGAATGGAGGGCGCGGTTGGACACCACGCGCAACGCTGCAAGCAAGGCCAGCACGGCCGCTGTGTCCATGTGGGCTGTGCTTTGGAACAGCTGGTGGCGGACAGGGGGGCGGCATGACGCAATGGGGATGGCAAGAGGTGAGGACGGGTGGAGACGTGCGCATGGGCTCGTGCCATGCTTCGCATGCAGCGGCTTGGGGATGTCACGTCGGCAGACATGCTTGAGCAGGCTGGGTGGGTGGCATACATACTTGCGCATCAAGGGTGGCAAGGACGGTGAAGTCGGATTGCTGTGAGGAAGCGGGCGCGGCTGTGAGCTCCTTGGATCCGCGCGATGCTGCTGCTGGCGTTGAGGATGACGTGGACGCCTCCTGCATGAGGGGTGGCAATAGCAATGCACCACGGCATGCGAGTCCAATGACCACCGCATGCCAGAGTGGCGCCTAGACATGGATGTTGATGGCAAATGGACATCTGGAAACTGCTGCCAATAGAGGCAAGACGCGCGTGCTCTACTTGATACGGATGCTACATGACACCCAACACTACATGGCTGCCGGTGGTACATGCCTGGCTGGTGGCATATGGGGAATGGATGGTGCGGTCGAGAGCAGCCAGAGTCTCCATCACCTGGCGGGGGGCAGCGTAGTGTGTGCCGCACATGGCATGGCATGGGATGGGAGGCACAACACAATGAGCGACACAAATGGCACGGGAGAGAACATCGTATGGGGTATAACAAAGCACGGGGCATAACATAGGCATAACACAGTATGGGGCATAGCACGGCAAGCGGGGTAGCATTCCATGGGGAAAATACGGAATGGAAGAGAACATGGCCAAGCACAGGCCAAGGTATGTGGCATAAGGTGGAACTGGGCACACACCAATTCCCAGGATGGCCCGAGCACAGTGCAAAGGCGATGGGAGATGTTGAAGAGAGTGCGCAGCGCGTGCATGTTCTTGGGGGTGAGCACAGGCACGCCCTGCCCCATGGCAGCTGCGGAGGTGGGCCCAGCAGCAGAGCCCATGGCAGAAGCCAGCAGGTCTCCCCGTGACTCCGTGCCCAGGAGAGCATCCAGCGACCTCATTGGAGAGAGGAACGAACTGGTTGGGGGGGGGGGAGAGGAGGGGGCAGAGAGACTGAGGAATATGGCAGGCGCCAGGGCAGGCAAGAGTGGGGTTTGCCCAGTACGCTTAGTGTTGAATGTGAAGAGCTTGTTCGTGACGAGGTGCCTCAAGCTTGAGCAGCACGAGGAGTCACGAAGCCAACATCCGTGATTCCATGAAGGGCGTACCACTCGTATCGTCCTAGCAATGGCCTTTGATGACTACACAACCACCTGCCATTTTATCATCACGAACTGCAATGATGAGGTATAAGTGAAGTTGGGCACACAGGAGGTGCATGAGCACGATAAGCAACGGCAGCCATGCCTTGATGGGGAGGAGGGCATTTGAAAGCGGTCGGAATCAGGGGGCTGCCCGTGTGCTGCCATGGTGCTGATGGGCGGAGTGACTGGCGCCACCAGGGTGAAGCGACACAGGGATGCCAGGAACTCGTCCCGGGGATCAACCAGGTCCAACGCCCCGCATGCCTGATGGTGGTGAGGGAAAGGGTGGTAGGGGGATGCGGATTAAGGCAGTATGAGTGCATGGAGCGAGAAAACGTTAGCCCTGAAAACATGGCAACGACCATCACCTGGCACGCACTCATCGCATGCCGTCCCCTCACCTGGGTGAACGCCTGGTATGCCCTGAGAATCTCCAAAACGACGGCCTCGCCTTGTGACCTGCAGGGAGAGGAGGGGGAAGGTTGAACGGGGTTGCTCAGGCATGGATAGGGCGCGCCGTCAGCCGCGCTTGCACAACTGCGCAGGCAGCAGAGAACCAATTCGGTATCCGCATGAATGGCGAGCACAACATGTGGCATACGCAGGTTTGCGCATATGACAGGGTGGGAATGTGACTGGGTGGGAATGTGACTGTGTGGGAATGTGACTGGGTGGGAATGTGACTGGGTGGAAATGTGACTGGGTGGGAAGGCAAGTGAGGAAGAGGGAAAGAGGGATACAGACCGAGCAAGTATGATGGAGAGAGCATCAAGGACTGTCTTCCAAACAGCATCCACCATCCGCACACACACCCCCTCCAATGAGCTGCGCACCCGAATGTCTCCACTGCCACTACTGCCCTCCCCATCCCCGTCAGCTTCCCCCGCTGTTTGCGCTCCTTGCTCCACCCACTCACGCCCTCCCTCCTCTTCCTTCATGCGGCCCAACAGGGCCAGCAGCCCACGAGACAGGCCTGGCGAGGGTGCATGGGAGTCGGGCTGTGACGGCATGGTGGGGTGCTGCCCTGGCAGCGGTGGAGAGGGAGGGTCCACGGGTGGTGACGAGGTCACTGACTCCATCAACCCCTCCTCTCTGTGCGGGGCACCACCCTCTGAGGCACCTTCTGTAGCAGCAACCCCACTGGCCTGCTTTTCTACGCCATCCTCTTGCTGTGACACGGTCTGCGGTCGCCTTGCTGTTGCCGGGGTGGATAGGGCTGCTGCTGCTGGCTGCGCGTGTGAGTCGTCCATGGCTTCGTCTGTGAGCAGCGCGATGGTGAAGACAATGCCCAGCAGCCCCTCCACAGCGAGCGTGATGGCATGCGCCTCACTGGCCGCCACCACTGCATTGCCCGCCCAGTCAAAGTCCATGGACCACTCCACACCTGCCGCCACGTAGCACACACACATTAGCCCGATGCACTGGACGAATTGTCATGGAAGGGAGACGATGCAAGGGAGCACGGCGAATCACCTCTGGCCTTGCTGCTGAACATGCCAGCCACTGCAGCTAGGCTCTCCTCATTGGCGTCTGGCACCTGTGAGCCATGGGCCACAACACACAAGCATGCATGCATGCATAAATGCACATCACATGCACACGTACACCACTCACCCATGCATGCAGAGAGAAAAGCAGAGAGGGTTTAGGGGGAGATGAGAAACTAGCGTAACAGGAGGATAAAATTCTCGAGAAAAGAAAGAGAGACCAAGTGAGGGGATTGTGTGTGAGTGCGAGACAGAAACGGAGGGAGGTCAAGTCTGGACAACCACGGGCTACACCCGGCGAGCAACGCGACAGGCCTGACCTGCAGGCTTTGCACGACGTGGGCGAGCGCCAGCGTCATCTCCTCCACTATGTTGCTGTTGCTGGGCTGCCTGACACAGGGGCAACAGCACGGGCACAGGGGGGACGAGCCGAGGGGGGTACAGGTCCAGCAGTGAAGACGGCAGCAACAAAAACTCGGAGGTGAAGTGTTGATGCTACAGCTACTCCGTGCACGCACTGCTTTGTTTACAGCGACGTCCACACCGCTACATCATCCAGCATGAAGTATCACATGGCACATACGAGCCTTTGCGTGCACACAAATTGCAAAATGGCAAACAGCACGTTTGTACTGTCTGGATGAGCATATGTGAGTGGCATTGCGAGTCCGGCACATATGAACCTGGACGATGCTCTCACACGTCAAACGGGGAGGAAACACTCACATGTCAAACGGGGAGGAAACACTCACATGTCAAACGGGGAGGAAACACTCACATGTCAAACGGGGAGGAAACACTCACATGTCAAACATGGTGAATATAAGTTGAAGGGTCCCTGGCTCGACGCAGAAGCCCTGCATTCAAGTGCGCAGCACACACATGAGCGAGCATGGCAGAAGTCAGTGAATGACTTTGGCACATGATGGTCTCCAGCCATCGTTGCATGCTCTTTCTCTCTCTCTCTTCATTGTTCCCCCCCCCTCAGCCTCTCCCTCGCAGCCTTGTCAAATGGAGAGGCGTATCCTCACCTGACCACTTCATCAGAGGGTGCGTAGCCGAGCCTTGGTCTGTTGACCAGCGGGGAACTGCCCCACATTCACTAAGGGGGGTGGCCTCTTAGCACCTAAGCGGGGGCTGTGGTGTGCAACGTACCCTGAGCACTTCCAGCACGAGGATGCGGTGCCAGAGAGGCAGGTCCTGGTCCACACTCTTCACGAGCATCAGCAGGAACACCTGCACACGCCCAAGGCGACATCAGGCGACGAGAACGAGGGCGAGGTTTGGGGAAGGAGGAGGGTGACGACAGCGAGCAGGCGAAACAGCAGTAGTGCGACCGCACAGCGCAAGGGATGAGCAGGACGACATAAAAGTCGGATAATTCCTCAAAAACAGGAAACATCGAGTGAGTGCAACGTCGTGTTGGTCGTCGTGTTGGACGCCGCTCACCTGCATGCGGGTCCCACTGCTCTCACCTCGCACTCCGTGGTGAGCTGCGCATGGTGCTGCCGCACAAGGGTCGCCACACACCGCAGCACCAACCGCCGATAGCCCGGCTCGCCTGAGTCACCCTCCTGCAATTTAATAGAGAAATCACAGTTGCTACGTGACACACCCTCCTTGCCAGCACTGTTGCGTCATCATCCCTAGTGCTGCTTGACAGAGTTCAAATACATCCAGACAATGCCACCCACCTCAGAGCCTGTGGAGCGCAGTGACGTCATCACGAGCGCACAGAGCCTGTGCTGGAGCACCTGGTGAGGGCAGAGGAGAGGACGGGAAGGGGAGAAGGGGGGTGGGCGAGGACACGATGCAGGTCGAAGAGAAGAGACACGGGACAGGCAGAGGACGTGACGTGCTGGGAAGAGGGGTGGAACAAGGCCTTGTCACATGTTGTGAGTGTAAACGAGACCTGAAAGGTGTCTAACTTGCACAATAATGTCACGCATTCTGACACAAGAACACCACATCCACACGTGTATAATACAACCCAGCAATCGGACATCAGGGTGTAAGCATATGTTGTGTCTTCAGCATGCGACAAAACAGGAGCGAAAGCAACCAGTGGGGCAGCCAGGATTGACAATAACGATGCAGTCACAACAGAGCCTAATGAGTAGCTCTTGTCCCTGCCTGCTTGTTTGCCCGTGGCTGACCTGCTGGTAGGGCGTGAGGCGGCGGAAGAGGGTGGCATAGTGCGAGACGACATACTCCAGCATCTCCAGGGCGAAGGTGCGCTGCAGCGACGGCACATGCAGCCACTGGGGCTGCCATGCCGAGGAGGGGAGGATGGAGGCACGAGGCACACTTCCATGCAGATGGTTATCATTGAGAGTGCAATAACAGTTTATGGTGCCATAGGGGATAAACATGGCGCAAGAAAAGAATCACATATGCGGCACTTTCAACGATTAAATGCCAAACATGTTCTCACAGCCTTTTCCCACTCCTTCCCCACTGCCCCTTTTCTCCTTTATCCATGCTCCCTGCCCTGTGCTCACCTGTTGGCCCGCAGCCAGCGCCGCCAAGTCCTCGAGCAGCCTGAGCCCCATGCGAGCTGCTGCTGAGAGGTCTTCCACCCGCTCCTTCAGCACCACCGTCTCCAACTCCTCCCCTCCCCCCCTCGCCGCCCCCCCCCCCTCCGTCGCCCTGCCGTGGGTTGATGTGCCACACCCCATGGCAGCGAACGGGGGCGCAAAGGTGGAAGGTGTAGAGGACGGAATTGAGGGTGAAGGGAAAGCAAGGGGTATAGCAGGCCACGTGAGTGCTGCAACGAAAATCTTCATGCATGACAATGTGCTTTACAATCTTCATGCATGACAATGTGCTTGACAATCTTCATGCATGACAATGTGCTTGACAATCTTCATGCATGACAATGTGCTTGACAATCTTCATGCATGACAATGTGATTGACAATCTTCATGCATGACAATGTGATTGACAATCTTCATGCATGACAATGTGCTTGACAATCTTCATGCATGACAATGTGCTTGACAATCTTCATGCATGACAATGTGCTTGACAATCTTCATGCATGACAATGTGATTGACAATCTTCATGCATGACAATGTGCTTGACAATCTTCATGCATGACAATGTGCTTGACAATCTTCATGCATGACAATGTGATTGACAATCTTCATGCATGACAATGTGCTTGACAATCTTCATGCATGACAATGTGCTTGACAATCTTCATGCATGACAATGTGCTTGACAATCTTCATGCATGACAATGTGCTTGACAATCTTCATGCATGACAATGTGATTGACAATATTCATGCATGACAATGTGCTTGACTACCTGGAAGCCATGACGATGTGCTTGACTACCTGGAAGCCATGTCAATGTGATTGACTACCTGGAAGCCATGACGATGTGCTTGACTACCTGGAAGCCATGACGATGTGCTTGACTACCTGGAAGCCATGACGATGTGCTTGACTACCTGGAAGCCATGACAATGTGCTTGACTACCTGGAAGCCATGACGATGCGGCTGATATCCCCAGGCTCTGACGTGTTCCACACGCGGTTCGCCTGGCGGGGGGCGGACTGCACTGGCAGGCCCTCGCTGCTGGCAGCTCTGTCGAAGATGAGCGCTATGGCCTGGCGCAGGGTGGCGGTGGCCGTGCTGCCATGCACATGCGCACACGTGGACACACATGCACGTACATACACAAGGGTGGGGGTGAGACAGAACCGTATGGCAGGAGACAGACCACAGCAGCAATGACAGGCACATGCGTACAACACATGCAGGTGAAGCTGGCCACAGAAGGGCTAAGTGCAGCAGCGCTGAGACAGCAGGAAAGCATCCCTTCCATTCCCTCTTACCTGTGCACGCAGTCCAGCTGCCGTGTGCTGCCTGCGAGGCGAAGACAGATGCCCAGAATGATGGCCATGCTCTCCTGCACACATTGAAGACGGACAACTGCATGAATGAGGTTACCGACTCAAGCTATGACCGCAGAGGCAACCTTGACAGCTTATGCATGCACATATTCTTGCATCTGTGCTAGTTTGCATACCTTATCCTCATTCTCCTCATCCCCCTGCACTGCAAAAACAGTTTTGTTTTTTAGCGCACCCATCAAACCGAATTATGTAGATGCACTCATCTGACCACACCTTGCAAGTGATGCGCCCATCTGATCACACCTTGCAAGTGATGCGCCCATCTGACCACACCTTGCAAGTGATGCGCCCATCTGACCACACCTTGCAAGTGATGCGCCCATCTGACCACACCTTGCAAGTGATGCGCCCATCTGACCACACCTTGCAAGTGATGCGCCCATCTGACCACACCTTGCAAGTGATGCGCCCATCTGACCACACCTTGCAAGTAATGCGCCCATCTGACCACACCTTGCAAGTGATGCGCCCATCTGACCACACCTTGCAAGTGATGCGCCCATCTGACCACACCTTGCAAGTGATGCGCCCATCTGACCACACCTTGCAAGTGATGCGCCCATCTGACCACACCTTGCAAGTGATGCGCCCATCTGACCACACCTTGCAAGTGATGCGCCCATCTGACCACACCTTGCAAGTGATGCGCCCATCTGACCACACCTAATCAGGTATATGCACCCATCCAATCGCACCTCATCTTTAGGGTGAAGCTGCGACTGCAGCACAGTCAGCACTGTCTGCAGCACCTTGAGCTGCACCGCCTCCTCTGACCCCTCTGCATGCTACACGCAGGGCAGAGGGAGAAACGATAGACGGTTGAGGCAGAGGCTGACGCAGAAGCTTGTTTTGGAGAACGGATGCACGACACGCCTGACGTGCTGTGCTGAATCCGGATGTCTGCATCACTGTCAGCAATGCAAATCCTCCAAAATTAGGTGCAAGCGATGTCAACCAGAATGAGCCGCTGCATCACTGCAAGCAATGTCAGTCAGAATGAGCTGCATCACTGCAAGCACTTAGTGTCTTGCATCCATGCAGGCAATGAGTGAAGATTCGCTGCAATTCACCTCTCTGAGCGTGGTCAGAATGTCAGGCAGGGCAGTAGGGGACACGGCATTGTGAGCCACCAACTTCTGCACGCATGACAACCCCAACGCGCACAGCCGAGGCTGTCTTGTGTCGCACGCCAGCAGGAAGATTCGCAGCAACTCATCGCTTTTCGAGATGGCCTCTGGGCCTGCCAGAGAACGCAGCTGAAGAGCAGCAACGGGAGTGCAGTGGAACAAGAGGAGGCGGGCATTTGACAGGCGTGATGCTGGACTCCGACTTGCTGCTCTCCACGCAGTTCTCGGAAGAAGCAGACTATATTATCGAAGGAAACGTGACAGCTGGAGGTGAGAACACTTTACGCCGGAGCCAACCGAGACCGTGCAGCACACCTTGAGGATTCCGCGTTCCGCGGCGTCTTTGACGGCGGGGAATCGCCGGCGGGCTTCGGCTGAAATGGAGCGGAGGTCCGCTTCGAGCACCGCGTTGAGTGCCATGGTGAATCGGAACGACTAGCCAGTGGTGTCACACTGATCAGATGCGATCGATGTGAGCTTCATGAATAAGAACAATTGTTACGAGTCGGCGTTGTCTGACGACCATCGAATCGACAGAGAGAACCGATGCTTGAGCAAGAGGATTAAACGCAAGCGAAGAGGATTTCGAACTACGGTGACTCCAGCCAACGGCCCTCAGCCCAACGCGACGTGCATCGCGCGAGGCCGAAGACACTCTGCACCAAGCAAGCCTAGTCAGCAGCAGGCACCCTGGAACTCGATCCAAGGTATACTGAAGTGTTACGCTGGCCCTGGGAGATAAGGGCTGATTCCTACGTCGTGGCATCCACTAGTGTCACCGTGTCGTCGGGCAAATTGAGTGTCTTCCGAGATTGTGGGAGTGTCTTCCGAAGCTGACGGAATGTCAAGCACTCCGTCAAGTGTGCGATGTTTGTGTCGCGTGCAGACGCACAAACGAGCTGACGAACAAAAATGCATTAACGAAATCTAATCTTTGTTAACACACCCTTTATGTGTTTCACGAAAATCTGTCCTGGCTCGTCGGAACGTGTAAGGAACGCGCCGCGACACTCAATCCTCCGAACGAAAGTACGACGACTCTGGCGGAATTCTTATTTCTGTTCGTTCCAGTTTGCGAAAATTGCCCAATTGCTTTAATAAACAGATGTCACTGTTCGCAGTCAAGGCTGGCACTTCCAATCGTCGACACTGGTAAAACCTAGTTTTCTCAGGTGTCTTCCTGCGTCTGACATCGTCAGACGACACGACGCAGGAATCGCCCTAGTATTCTGAGGTGTGGAGAATCAATTGAAGTGAGCGTTATGTAACAACAAATGTGTTATGAATTAATCAGAGTTGTAAGGAATGAGTAATTCCTTACTGAGGCTTGCTACAGGGCGTACGACTCGAACAGTCCCGAACCATCGCCAGGGTTCCAGACCTTTCAGTTCGAGCCTCCTGGGCCTTTCCCGACCTCGCTACGACACATCGAGGCCCTTCGATACCTTTCCCGAACCTTCAGATCTTACGTCCAGGATCATTCTAGGCTTTCTATATATTGTGTGTTCTTTCATTTTATTGTCATTCACTCGTTCACAGTTTCGCCATTGCCCTCCGCGCTACTCGGCAGTCCCATTTATAATAAGAGTAATAACAGATAGTGTAATAAAGGACTCGTGATTCAAGAGTGTCGATACAAATGAGGGCCTATGCATTTATAGGCACGAACAGAGCTAGCCGAGAACCACGCGAACAGGTTGGGGCGATTCGGCTGGCGAAAGCCACGGAAGCGCTGCTCGTCGAGGTTTGGGTTGGCAAAATGGTTCGGGCTTGAAAAAGTTGGCCGAGCCTGGACTTCCGAGAGTCGAGGGCATACGCGCTATAGTCGAGCCCAGCAAGGAAAAGGGGATTTCCTTACACCACCCCCCCTTCCGGGATGAGACTACCCACATCCGGGGCACGTTGTCGGTGTAAATAGTCCCGGACGACTTTGTGTTCGCCGAGCATAGTTGCGGGGACCCAAAGATCGTTGTCAGTCGTGCGATCGACCCATCGTACAAGGAAATCAACGGCTATCGCATCTTGATGGCCTCGTACGCGATGAGCGAGAATCTTCGATGGCTCGATCGTCGGCTCATGTACTAGGTTGACCATAGGATTGATGTATTGACGGTCGAGATTAGTCGTACTCGGGACGAATGGTCGCAGGATGCTAACGTGAAATGAATCATGAATTCGTCAGTCGACCAGTAGTTGCAGTTGGGCGGTGACTGGTGTCACCATGCAGAGAATGCGGAATGGGCCGCAAAATCTTGGTCGTAGTTTATTTGGGAGGGGAATTCCCAAATTTCTGGTGTCGAGCAGGACCAATTGCCCAGGGACGAGTGTTAAGTCACGGCGTCGTCGGTCAGCTTGTTGCTTAGCCCGTTGGTTGGCTTTGAGGATGGCAACGGCAGCTTTTTGCTGAGACTGTCGGAGATTTTCGACGAACTGATGCGACCTTGGTGCCGGATTTTCTATCGTTGGCGATAGAGGGGTTGTCGGGTCTATTACGTAATTAAGGAAGAACGGGGACTGAGTAGTCGTTGCTGATGGGGCGTTGTTGTACGCAGACTCGATCAAGGGAAGGGAGTCTTCCCATTGGGCCGGGTCTATGCACGTCGTGCGAATCAGCTGCTCCATCGTCTGATTAGTGCGCTCAGTCTGGCCGTCCGATTGCAGGTGGTACGCCGTGGACAGATGCAGACGTGTGCCGTATTGCTGCCAGGTTTTTGTCCAGAAGTTGGATGTCAACCGTGGGTCACGATCGCTGATGATTGCCGAAGGAATGCTGTGTAGCCGCACGATGTTCGTGAGGAACTGCTTCGCTGTCTGCCCGTCAGTAATTGTCGTCTTGCAGGCGGCGAAGTGGGCCATCTTGGTCAACCGGTCAACGACGACGAGAATCGCGTCGTTATCGAAAGAACCAGCTGGCATGCCAGTGACGAAATCCATCATCACCAGTTGCCAGGATCGGCTGGGTGGCTCGAGCGGTTGCAGTAATCCCGCAGGTCGAAGCCGTGAAGACTTCATGCGTTGAGACGTGGCGCAGGAGGTGATGTACAGCTGCACGTCTGTCGGCAAATCATGCCAATAATAATTACGGTTCAGCAATTTGGCGGTCTTGTCGATGACGTAGTGACCCGAGAAATTTGAGTCGTTTGCCTCCTGTATCAGTTGCTCGCGTAGGGTACGGTAGGCGGGAACCCAAATCCGATTGGTACCGGATTTTAGGTCATAGGCCCCTTGCTTGACCGTCAGTCGGGGATGACTGCTAGTGGTGAAGAATGGGTCGGTATTGTATCCGTGGGTGAAGAGACCAGTAATCAGCGGATTAGCTTGGGTAATTAGGACTGCGGCGGTGTGGACTGACGGGCGGGTCAGTGTGTCAGCGATGTTGCTAACCCCCCGTCTGTAGGTGACTCTGTAGTGGAAGTTTGACTCGAGGTAATCGAGCCAGCAAATCTGTCGGGGATTTAGTGTCGGTTGGGCACGGATGAATTGTAGCGATTTGTGGTCTATTCGGACTTTCACGTCAGCGCCCGTCAGGTAGCAGCGCCAGACCTTGAAAGCGTGAACGATGGCGAGTAACTCTTTGTCGTGGACAGGATAACTTTGCTCGGCCGAGTTCAGCTTTCGTAACTCGTAGGTGATGGGTTGAAGGCCTTCGCTGAACTCTTGTAACAGTACTGCGCCAACATCCAGGTCGCTACCGTCGGTGATGAGCTCAAACGGACGAGGAGGATCTGCAATTCGAACGACCGGAGGTGTAGTAAGGAAAATTTTGAGCTGTTTGAATGCAGCCTGCTGCTCTCCCCCCTACTCATAAAACTTGCACTTCTTCAGGAGATCCGTGAGAGGGGAAGTTACCCCCGCCATGTTCGGGATGAACCGGCTAACGTAATTCACAAACCCCATAAAACTCTGAAGTTCATGGAGGTTAGCCTGTGGCTTCCAATCTTGGATTGTCGCGATCTTTTTTGGGTCGATTTTAACTGCTTCCAAATCCTTCAAATGCTGTTCCCGGGAAAACTGCTTCCAAATCCTTCAAATGCTGTTCCCGGGTAGTGCTGTAGATCAGGATGTTGTCGAGGTACACGATGACGCATTTATCCAGCAGCGGCCGGAAAACTTCGTTCATGGTTAACTAGAACGTCGAAGGCGCATTTGTTAAGCCAGATGGCATAACCGTGTACTCGTATCTCCCATACCGGGTCCGAAACACCATCTTGGAGCAGTCAGCTTCGTTCACGCGAATCTGATGGTAACCGCCTCGCAGGTCAAATTTCGAAAAGAACTTGGCTCCACGAATTTGGTCGATGCGTTCGTCGGCATGTGGGATAGGGTAGCGGGACTTGATGGTAACCCGATTCAAGGCGCGGTAGTCAATACACATTTGTAGACCACCATCTTTCTTCGGGGTGAACAGGATCGGAGCTGCGAACGGAGAAGTGCTGGGGCGAACTAATCCTTTCTCGAGCAGGTAGTCCAGCTGGCGTCGAATTTCATCTAGCTCGGGCTGAGTCAGCCTCCATTGAGTCCGAACAGTCGGTTGCGCGCCGGGCTCCAACTCGATTTTGTGGTCGTGGTCTCGCTTAGGTGGCAAACCCGCCGGTAGGTCATCTGGAAAAATGTCAGCATGTTTCCGAATCACCATCGCTAAATCATCCGGGACAGCTGCGCAGAGTTTGTCGATGTCTGTTGGCGTGTCGATAGCCGTTGATGCAATCCATCGAACGGCATACACTTGCGCCCCTCGAATCATTGCGCGCTTGATCGTCACCGCGCTGCCCGTCAATGTCATCGAATCTTAGACAGCTCCACTTGGGTAGTCGTCGCCACTCGCCACTCCATTTTATGCGACAATCGCATGTCCGCCAGTCGATGCTCGGGTTGTATTCGTGCAGCCAATTGCGTCCCAAGACTAGGTCGCAGCCATCCAAAGTCGTCGCCAGCATCTTCGTCGTGAAATTGAAATTTTTGCCGCATGTTACTCGCACGTAAGGCACGCGCTCCCGAATTGCTAGGGGTGTGCCGTCGACCAATCTCGCGTCGATTTCAGGCATGCAGCGCTCCAGTTGCAGTCGCAATTTTTTTGCCTTCGCCATGTCCATCAAACTGTGGCTCACCCCGCCATCAATGAATATTTTGATGCGGGTGTCGCCAACTCTCACTTCAACCAGCACAGGGTGATCAACCGGTTCACCCCCCTTATTCAGCCAGGAATGGTCGATAGCCCAAATCGGCACTATAACCTGGTGGGGGTGGTGGCGTTTGGGCGACGCAGTCAAGTAAGTAGGTGGCCCATCTGCTACTGACGATCTCCATTTCCCGACTGCTTCTTGTCGTTAGGTAAGTTATCTTCAGCTGCAGGCAGTCCCTCACCATGTGACCCCGCTGGTTGCAGTAGAAGCAGGTGCCCGAAAATACTCGGGCTGCAAACACGTCCACGCCGTTGATTGATGTGTGTTGGGGCTGGCCTCGAAAGCGATTTCCCTCCCGGAAACCCGCTCTCGCGAGTCCACGTCGTGTGTCCAGCGCGTCTGCGATGCGAGCGATTTTGTTGAAGGTCGGCGGGGCTCGCAGGACGATCTCTTGCTGAATCTCCGGCTTGAGACAACCCACGTGGCGATCGATTTTCTCGTCTTCACTAATCCCTCCGATTTGGTCGCAGATTGCCAGAAACGGCGTCGTATATTCTTGGACAGAGCCCAATTGTCTCCACATCTGAAGCTTTGTGCGAGCATTTTTTCGCATGGATATGTGCTCAAATCTGCCCTTCAACGCTTCGCCCCACGCTTTCCACGTGCGGATCGTGGCCGATCCAAAGATTGGTTCTGCCTTCGCCGTTGATGAACTCATCTCCCCAACTGCCGCCCGTTGATTCCCTACCGGGGCTCCTCCCTCGTCTAGATGCATGCGCCACCAGTCGAGTGCCGGTCCCCTCAGCAGTGACACAGCCAAGTTGACACGTGATGCACTGTCATTAATACTTGCTGCCATAAAGAAGATTTCCATGGCAAACAGCCACCCGCTCACTGTAGTTGTCCTGTCGGTCGGGTTGAATGGTGGGGGCATCGGAGGCTTGATTTTGATGGCCGCCCGTGGTTCGCTGTGGACTTCTTCAACTGCTTTAGGTGTCGCCGATGCCCTCGCTTCATTCACAACATCTTCGTCTCGGGTAACAGGCCACCCCTGACGCATTTCACCCCGCGTCTGGCGAAGCGACGAGTTTTTGTTGCGCAGCGTCTGAACTTTGCTTCCCAGCGACTCAAACTTATCCCCGAGTTGTTGAAGCTAGGCCTGTAGTGTCATCACTGTAGCCGCCCTGGCTTGCAACTCATCAAACTCCTCCGGAGTCACGTTCCTAACACTACGACGGGCAGAGGTTTCCGGCGTGCTAGTCATGCTGGAAATTTTACCTGACAGATCTGAGGGTGCACACGCTTTTAGTTGGAGGAGCTTTAACGAGCTCGCCTACCAACCACTGGCCAACCCTCTATTCTGTCGGGTCCTCTCCCGATATAATCGGACTACTCTACGGAAGACTAAGCGGGCAGGAACGGGGCTCTGATACCAGCTGTTATGAATTAATCAGAGTACTAACAGGTAGTGTAATAAAGAAGTCGTGATTCAAGAGTGTCGATACAAATGAGGGCCTAGGCATTTATAAGCACGAACAGAGCTAGCCGAGAACCACGCGAACAGGTTGGGGCGATTCGGTTGGCGAAAGCCACAGAAGCGCTGCGCGTCGAGGTTTGGGTTCGCAAATGGTTCGGGACTGAAGAAGTTGGCTGAGCCTGGACTTCCGAGAGTCGAGGGCGTACGCGCTTTAGTCGAGCCCGGTAAGGAAAAGGGAATTTCCTTTCAAAATCGCATGAAAATTTAACCATGCCTACATCCTGATTTCTTATGCAGTGTTTCTATATCACCACTATTATGAGGTTAATTTAGTGATAACTGAGGTATTCGTAAGGATCTTAGGATCATTAAAGTTTTGGTGTGTAACTCAATAAAGCCTGGGTCTGGCTAGTTCTATATCATTATCTTCTCGATGATGTCAAAGTTTAGATGCACTTACAGTATATGGGCTTGTAAAATTGAGTGTAAAAACCTTTGATCTATTGAAGCCCTTTCTCAACATGGTCAGTATCTTCTTTCCAAACATATTTCAACGTCGCTCTCTCAACCAGGTCCACAGTCATCGAGAATAGATTCTCAATTCTTGATCTTTTAGATGATCGTAAACCACTTCAACAGAAACATCTCGCCGGTTTGCAAACTGGTGAGATGAGAGGTTCTCAGAAACGCACCCTAAAGCATGTTGAAGTATACCCGGTAGAGTTACCACTTATGCATTCCTGATATTACACTTAGACTGTACTAGTAGCACGATACCTCATATGGAAGGACGCGTGTGATGACGTCAACAGTTGTGATTCAATGCATGAACAATAGGTTCGCGTGTATAGTCACCCGAAGGGTCACGCCACTCTCAGTCACATGAACAGTCACCAGTCATGTCACGCGAATAGTCGCGATCAGGGTCCCCGCTATCAGAAGAATTTCGTTTGTTGGTCTGATCATAATCCATTTAGGGATAGTCTGAAACTTCAGAAAACGTGTACTGGTCCGTCTGATTTTTCAGACTTGACAAAATCTTTCGTCTGAAACTGAATGAGTCTCTGCTGTATGAGGACATCCGCTGATTACGGGAACAGCGGCAATCACGGGGCCGGTCCCGCCCAGGCGCCCCAGGAACTGACTGTTTTGGCAGCAACTCATGTGACACCCTGCGAAAGTGACTTAGAACAGCAGCATACACGTCGCACATCGCAATCGTTGGCAGTTTGGGCGACCACTCGGCGGCATCTCGCTCGCCCATTGGATTGTCAAAACCACCGCATCTCGCTCGGCGGATTTGGCTGCCCAGAGGGGCAGCATTTGCCACCTTTCTGCCAGGTTTGGCTGCACCTCCTGCATGGACAAGTATCAACGATGTGCGGGGGCACCGAACCATGCACCGCGTTGCCCATGCCTGAAACATGAAAACGTTGATGGAGTTGCCAGCCAAGTCTTGCATACGCCCATCCTTGTCGTCTCCCTCATCTTCTTCCCACACACAATCTTCTAATGAAGCTATGGGCTTTCTGCTCATTTTTCTTATTGTCCTACGATAGCGTATCTGTAGAGCTCGCACACCCGCTTACGCCGCATATAGACTAGCTGCAGCCCATGCAATCTGTAGCCCCGCTACCAGCACCAGGGCAGTAGCATCATCCTAGTGTGCCGTCATGCGGACGAGGTTGGACCTCCTGAGGGCTTCCGCAACCAGTCATACCTATCGAAGTACATCCCCAACCCCGACGCGCTGCAGGGGGGGCTGAAAGCCGAGTGCAATGAGAATTGGGTGCACGGTTTCCCATGGGTTGTAATCGACCAGCAGAAGGGTGGTGGTCCTTGTATGAGGTGCAGCGTCTTCATGGCGCACGGTCCACCCGACACCAAGTACGGCCGGAACGGGCAGGGAGGTGTGGACATCCAGAAGCAGACGATGCGGAAGCACTCACTGAGCAAGAAGCATCAAGATGCGGTCGAGAAGAAGGCGCTTGCAGAGGGCATCATGACCCCACAGCGCAGCATCATCGACTATGAGGACGGTGACGTTGAGGCCCGTCATTTGAAAGCTCTCATGCTCGTCGTTCTTTATATTTGCAAAGAGGATGCGCCGATTGCCATGTTTGTATCTCTTTTGAGCCTCATCTTTCGCCTGAAGACCCGTGACATGCCAGAGAAACAAATCGACACTTACCAATCTGAGTAAGCCTAGTGAGTTTCCTAACCTAATGTCATGTTTCGTGTAAGTTTGCATCTAAGTACATCTGGTGGCATGAACTAGCACGGTCCTTACTTCATCCGTTCTTGTCTTTGCCTAGTGTGTTTCAGCTATTGTTTCAGGGAAATCACCGAGGCACTGGTCACCTATCTCCGTGCAAGGCAGATGCGGCACATTCAAAACTTGCCCCTTCATCGGGATACAACTCGACGAGAGTACCGATCGGCGCCGCGGCAAGCACATGGTGGTCTACCTGACATTCGTGAATGTCGTCACTGAGTGCGTGCATCTTACCATGGAGAGGTGAGATGCATCTTCATTACTTTCGACCCTTCTGACACATCTCGAGACCACCTACATCGACATGGCAAGAATCTCTGGCATCAGCACCGACGGTGCGAGCGTCATGACTGGAGCAAGCAATGGACTTGTTGTGCAGCTGCGACTCCGCGTGCCTCACCTCGTGTCATGCCACTGCATTGCCCGCCGGTGAGTCTTACAATAGCTTTTAGTGCTTAGCTTCCAACATGTTGCCGTTCGGTCTATCATGTATATGCCTCTTTGACCACTCAGGACTTATACGTTTCCGTGGCCTACTTGCGCAGCGACGCCTTGGCGGCCAAGGTCGTTGCTGCCAACTTCCCTGACTTGGGGATAGTAAACAAAGTGGTCCGCTCACTGGCGGACATCCTTGGTCGAAGCATCGTGGTGCATGGAAGGTTTCTGGAGCTGCATAATGAGTTGCAGGCCACTCAACTCGAGATGCAGGGTACAAAGGATATCCGTTGGTTATCCCGCGGTGAGGCGATTTTACGCCTTGTTG